GAGATGCCTTGTATCTCACATGCGATCGCATTCCATCGATCGTAGAACTCCGCGGGCGATTCTTATTTCTTTTGTCGCCAATTGATAAGCGCGGACACGGTGAGCTTGCGACGCCTTTGGGAGGCGAATTTCGTGGTGAAGAGCATCGCAAACTGCTCAAAATTCTCGATTATCCCTTCTGGGAGGGAGGTATACCACGTTCTACATTGGCCGCTGAAGGTGACCGGAAACGCCCGACACAGGTCTGAGTCAGACGCGTTGATGAGCTGCATCTTGAGCATTAAGGCACAAAGGTGGTCCGCGGTATCTGAGGTCCCGCTGTACGTGGAGAGTCCCAGGGACGAGAAATTAGGCGGGACTGGGGTCTTGAAGAGTTCCCGCGACAATGGGTTTTGGAGGACAGTGGGGCTCTTGTGCTTCCCATAGGTTGATCGCAAGTGTTCTTCCAAAAACCCAAGGTCTACCTCTTCCACCTCTTTTCCTCCGCCTTCTGTCCGAGCAGGGATGTCGAGGACAAGGGCGGTCTTCTGTTTGTCCTTGCGCGATTCTCCCTTTGAACCGTCTGCGGGGTCTTCTCTTGTCTTCAAAAGTTGGAGAATTTGGGAGAGGTTGTCCTGCATGTTTGCGATCTGCACGCCTTGACTCTTGACAACCTCCTCGAGTTCCTATTCATCTTCAACCCTCGGCGAGAGGCCTCGAAGGGTGTTGTTTTCTGTCATCCCTTTGAGAGAGGTCTCGAAGTCGTCTCCAATTTTTCACCGCAACCAAGTCGTGGGGCCCCACGGTGGGCGCCAAAATGTTTGTGCTTGGAATGTACCAAGCGGTTAAGTGGAGTTCCACGGACTCAGGCGGTTTCCAAGGGCAGCGAGCGGTCTTCGAAACCTACAAGAAAGGTCCTCAGGGGGTTCGTGGGACCTCCTCCGATGCCTAAGTTAGAGAGAGGATTGAGAGAATTGTAAATAAGAGAGAGATTGGAGTAGTTAAAGTTACCATAAATGTGATCCTATGAGGGATATTTATACTAGTTTCGTCCGAGCTATGTGCATTAAATGTTATGTCGGGCGCCCTGAGATGCCTCTGGATTCCCCAACGTCTTTGTCATACTTCGTATGTAGGATCCAGAGTGTCGGGCGGTCCCCTGACGTCAGATCTGTTATGTGTCGGGCGGTCCCTTAGTACTAGCATCCTTTGGGCCGCCTTTGCTCCTGATCCTCCTTTGGGCCTCGTTTGTTCTTTTGTGGGCCTTGAGTGCTTTCTGGGCCTACGGGCCGCGTGGCTCAATGTGTGGCCCAACAGGTATTATATGCAGGAGTATGCGCCGTAGAATGATAACCTGGATGGAGGAACATGAAACTTTACACTGAGAGATGGTAACAAAGCTGCTCACATCATGCCGCACTCGGAAATTAGTTTGAATGAGATGATTGTTTGGCTGGATACGCCACTGGATTTTCTTGTTAATCAGCTTCAGCAGGACAATGTTACCGCAACCTCTGATTAATAAAAGTATTACAGTTTCCCGTAAAAAACAATAAAATCACTACTAATTATCATAAAATCACTACACATCTAATTTAAATCCTTTGTTTCTTCTCACCGTCTGATTTAACTTAAAAACAATCAACAATGATAAAAGTGGTTAGAATGGTGCTAACTCCTTGTAATCATTGATAATAACGACCAGTTAATATTTGAATCTGTTTTTATAATTAAATATTTAATACGGAAACGTAACGGAAAGGCTAGTTTATCAATCATAAAAAAGTATTTTGTTTTTTCTGTTGCTTGTCGTGCCCAAAAATCATGCTCTGCCGAATAGTTTTCTCACGAAAACGAAGAGTAGGATATGATTTTGTTGATCGACGGCAAAAATGGCAGGTGAATTCGACTGCTGAGTGTGGTGATGGCCAATCGGCGGCAACGGTGAATTTGATTGTGGATTGCCGCAGCAGAAATGATCGTGATGGTGGTGATTTCCACCAACAAAGGGCTCTAGATTTTTGTGGTGATGGTTGATCGACGTCAACGATAATGATAGATGTTAATTGTACGGCTGGCTATTTGGTCCGGATTGTTTGATTTTATCCGAAACCGTACCGTATAACTCGGATAGCGACCGGATAACAAACAATCCAATCTCATATTCGGGCTTAAATTTGAGGTAAAAAACCTTGATAAAGACCTGATAAGAGACCCCAACATCCAAAACTTAACCAACTCCTCACCCTTTGAGGCCTCAGGCCACTCAAATCTCCACAAGTTTAATCTAATCAAGATCAAATTGGGACCGGACCGGGTCAAGACCGGACTGTATCCAATCCAATCTTTGGTCCTTATATTCCCGAAAAGACCGGACTGGGACCAGATCAACTCGGTCCAATTTGTCCGGACCGAACCGTATAGCCACCCTAGTTGGTGGATTGTTGACGTTGTTTGCCATTTTTTCTTCCTCCTTTATTAATTACGCCTTTCCCCATATCCGTGCCCTGCAATTAGGGGTGGAAATCGGTACGGTATCGGTATCCCAACACCAAATACCGAATTATACCCTGAAATCAATCCCAATCTCAATCCGAAATAATTTCGGTATCCCAATCCCAATCCCTAAATGTTTCGGTATCCCAATCGGTACCTCGGTATCCCAATCGGTATTATAAAATACAAAATTAGTTACCTTTCCATTAATAATTAAATACTTAAATTAGATTTTATTGTTTAATTTAGGGCAAAAAGACTAAGCAAAGAGTCTTGAGTTGCCTAGAGCTAACATCTCAAGTTTTTGTAATTGGTAATCTTTAATTTGATGAATTTGAGGTTGAGAGATGACTAATACGGGATGGGATATGGTGACAACCCCTTAATGGGGTTGTGAGTTTGACAACCCACTTTATAGCCATTAGATGTATTCTCCCTCTTGTCTCTCTCTTGTTATTTTTTAATTGAAGGTTGAGATGAAAAGAAGGGTGTTTTTGGGATGAAAAAAACTTACCACACCCTATCATTCTCCCTTCGATATAAAATAATAAAACCCTAATCTAACCCATACCAACTTCACAGCCGTTCACCTCCTTCTTCCCTTCCTCCCCCTCTTTCGCGGACGTTGCCGCCGCCGCATCTCCCTCTTCCTCCCCCATGCCCACCGCCACCCCGACCTCCGCCGCGTCGGCTGTTCCTGCCGCCCTGCCGCGCCCGCTGTCCCCACCACTCCTGCCGCGATACACTGCCCCCGCCGCCATTTTTTCGTCGCCGTCGCGAGATCGATGACTCTTCCCTGCCCGCCTCTTTCCTCATCCCTATTTTTTTCCAGATCTGATTTGTTGTGTTAGTATCTACTGGTATGTACCAGTGAGCACTGGTATGGTACCAATACCACTAGTAGCGCTACTGGTACGCTAGCACTACTTACTGGTACGTACCAGTGGCTCCCCTTTTCTAGATCTGTTTTTTTTTTCCGACTAGTGGTACCATTTTTCTTCTAGTAACATACCAGTGATAGTGGTACGCTACCACTACTCACTGGTACGTACCAGTGGCTCCTCTTTTCTAGATCTGTTTTTTTCCCGATTAATGGTACCATTTTTCTTCTAGTAGCATACCAGTGATAGTGGTACGCTACTCTCTACTGGTAGCGCTACCAGTGCTAGTGGCACGATACCACTAGAAAAAATCTATAATAGTAGAATAATGGACTGATACACTTTTTAACGCATTGGTACATTTTTTCAGGTTGCCGGAGGAAGTCTGTCGGAGAGATTTCGCCGGAGGAAGTCTGTTGAAAGGATTTTCACCGACGGTCGATGCGGAGTGGCTGCTGAAAAAAGAAAGAGAGAGATAGATAGAGATATAAATGTATATATTTAAATTTAAAAAAAGCTTGTATTTAATATGAGTTTTTAATTCCCAATGTAATTAATAAAAAAACAAGTTTAGTATATTCCTTTTTTCCATACCCAAAATGCCCTTGGTTGTCAATCTGACAACTCCAAGGGGGTTGTCACCATATCCCGTCCCGACTAATACTAGTGTGAAATAGTGATGTAAATTGTAATGGTCTATGTATAATTAAATGACACTCTTAGTGGTTGAGGGTCACGTAGTAGTGGATGAGAGAGTCTAGTTGAGAGGATAAAATACACACTAGCTTATATTTCGGTATTGATCGGTATTTCGGTATATCCCGATCCCGTAATCCCTAATACCGAATAACAATTGAAACTCAATTCCAATCCCACAAAATAATACGTGTATTCGATAATACCAAATATAGACAAATTCGATACGGTATTCGGTATATCCCAAATACCGGTACCAAACTTCCCGCCCTACCTACAATCCCTCAATAAAGATTAAAGAGGTGTGATTTTTTCTCCCCATAACCTTCACCAACCAATATTGAATGGGATGTAAGTAATCAAAATCAATTGGGCAGCGTTGGTAGGGATGGCGTTTCCAATTAGGGTTGGTTTGTCAGAGAAGGTTTGTGAGGATCTTGGGCAGGCCGTGCTTGGTTGTCGGTGGATTATTTATTTGATATTGCCGGAGATTCAGTTTCCGTCGCACATGATTGCGGATTTGGAGTCTTTGTCTGCGTATGCGGTGAGTTCCGTTGTGAGGATGTAATTTTCCTTCAAACTCATTGCTTCTGTGAAGCAGATGCGTGGAATGGCTTCATTGATTTGTGTTGGAATATGAAGATGATGATGTAGCCATTGCATTCTGCAGGTACAGCAGCAGACCACGAAGGCCTTCAGTCAAGCTTCTTTTAACTTGACTGAAGCTAAACGCTGCCGTATCAAATAGAGTAAATAATAGAATAATAGATAGTTTTCACTCTTACCTTGCCACTTGGAATAATGTAAATGGTAGGTTCATTGGTTTGGTTTGATTCTTACCGTTGCTTTACAGTGAAAACTGATTCTTGTATATATATGAGAAATCCCGCAGAAGAAAGGCATGATCGCCAATTCCCCACACATGGCTGATGTTCTCAACAATTTCACTCAAACCCTAGATATGTATTGTGCTAGGTTTATAACTTTCTCAGCTTCACTTCCAACGAAGATAGATGAAGCTTCGCGGAGGAATGGGATGGTAGCGCGAGGAGTATGGCGATTTCCCGGTCGTGTGGCTACAGCTCGTCGGGCTTTCTTTTGGACCACCATATCCACGGTCCGAAGGTCGTTGGGCAGGAGCTTGATAATGAATCTGAGATAAGCTACAACAACGAATGCAATTAGGTCCCCTGGCCCAATCATTTCCTTCAACTCCATCGAGGAGCAATCTGCCACCATCTGGCAGACGACGGTGATTATGCAGAATTTTAGGAAAATTAATAAAACAAAGACATCAAATACGAATTTAAATTTTGAAAAATTAAACTGGTATAGTTTAAAATGTTTCAACTTATAAGGAAATATAAAAATAAATAAAGTAAAAAAATGAAAGTATTAAGGAAATATATTCCTTTGGCAACCCGTAATCAATGGGATAATTTTTTTGATCGATTGCAGAAGGGCAGTGAAGGTTGCCCTATTTGCAACCTAAGGGAAACGCATGAACATATCTTTCGCGATTGTGGCTGGGTTCGAAGAGTATGAAGATCTAGCCCTATGGGTTCATACATCGACAGAGAAGAGGATCTTACCTCGGATGAGTAGTTTTGTGAGCTCTAGGAGACGAAATCTGAAGAAGTTAGAGGAATGGGAGATACTGCCTAGAGCAAGCGATTGGTTACCGGATTACATGGAGAAGCAATTGCAACACCAATCCCAGGGACGACAGGAAGAACAGCAGTGGAAGCCACCGACGACGGTTCCCATGAAGATTAATGTTGACGCATCATGTTTTGCGGATTGGGGAACGAGATGGTGAGTGGTAATTAGAGATGGAGGAGGAAGGTTTATGTTTGTTGGGGTTAGGAGGTCAAGGAAGGATCCAGTGGAACCCAGAAGAGGCAGAAGCAATGATCATTGATTTCAGCCTTGACCTAGCACACATGTTTGCTTTACGGGAAATGGAGATTGAATCGGATTTCCAGGGAGTGATTCACCAGCTGCAACGAGAGGAAGGAAGGGAGACAAATATTGGGTTGGTCTGTGCGGAAATAAGGGCCAAGGTCCGGACACTGGATTGTGTGAAGTGGAACTTCGCGGGCCGAAATAAAAATAAACCGACCCATGTTATGGTCCACGTTGACTGTAGCTGGGATGGTGAGGATGTGTGGGTTGATAGCCCACCTCATTTTCTTGTACCTCTTCTTAGAGAGGATTGTGGTGGAAACTCCGATGTTTCTTTTTAATGAAATGAATAGAGTTTCCTTTAAAAAAAAGGATGATTTTTTTTTAAGCAAAAATAAAAATGGAGAAAAAAATAAAATATAAGTAACTTGCTCTTTCTGAGCTCGAACTCTATATGCTTATTACATGTGAACATTGTGTACATGGTAGGTCAGTCAGACGTTAGCCTTTCGCTCAATAAAAAGATGAATACTACAGTTGTCGAACAAGTGTTGAAACTCATTTAAAGACTTCAACTTAGTTTGAGGTTGAGAAAACAAAACAAATGTTCGTAAGTTTTTGGGTAGGAATCTACAAATACCATTACTATCTTTCCTCTTTCCTTTCTTGCCCATTTGAGGCTGCAGGAAAATGAATATACCCAAATTAAAAATTATACCTGGTAAATGGTTCCAATATATAAGATAAGGAAAAACAAATGGATGATTTTGTGACTTTGTATATCAGATGAGTAAGTGAAACCGCAAAATTGAGGAAAATTGACAGAATCAAAGTTAGCAAAGAATCTTATCTGGAAAGCACAAGTACAACAAGGTAAAAAAAAAAAAAAAACAATGCGGCTATAATTAATAAGCAATAACAACATAAGAAAAGACTAAAATAATATAAGAAATGACTTTGTCGTCCATAGAATTTTATTGTCGTGATTAGAGCAAAGACAAGCAAATAACAAAAACAAATCTTATATGCGAGAGGTACATGGTATACTCAATGTGAAACCTGACCGAAAAGATTTAACAAAATATCACAAAAAGGAAGCATTAGTCATCTATTTCTTGACAAACTGGATTTGCATGACGCCATTATTTTGGACGACTATTGAACAAAGTACAAAGCAATTTATTTGTTAAAGATGATGAATTTTCTGAAGAAGATTCAAAACTTTCTCACAATTCAGCATTGGTAATAAAGCAACATGATATAATATATAATAAAAAACTACCACTTCTATTTATCAATCTTTTGCTCTACAACCAATCAAAACTATATAATATACATGTATATCTACAAAATATATTGTGGGGGCATAGCTCCGGTCCCAACGCCCAACAACCGCACGTCCGTCAGCTCTCCAGAAGAAAGCAACCACGTTCGCGTCTCAACCCAATCGCGCGCCCGTGATACCTAAACAAGCTCTCGCAGATACTTGATCCGCGAGCGAAACTCGCGCTTCTAAACATGTTCGTGGAAGGAGAAGACCAAGACGACGCCGTAGCATTGACAAGTAGTCACTTCTCGCTCATAAACCTAATCATACCCTAGTTACCTGTCTTGTCTAAACATCTTGTCATCTGCGATACCCACCCATTGAGGGTAGCCTATAATAGAGCATTTACCCCGATGTGTTAAAGGATCTCCTTTTTTTCCTCTCGCTCTAGAAATATAAGTAACTTCTCTCACTAAGAATCTCCCAACCACTTTTTCTTAGTTTCATTACTCTCAAACAAATTACAAGTGTTCAAGCGGATCATCCCTCTTCTCACTTGCACCCCATTTATCTTGTGTCTCACTCCTACTCTCAGTTAGACATAAACAATTGGCGCCCACCGTGGGATCACGAGTGAAAGCAACAATGATGGGACAGACTTCTAACATTCCAGACGAAGCGACTCCAGTCAAAGCGATGACCTCTTGTCCATTAAAGTACCTAACTTGGTATTGATTCTCTCCCACATAAGTAGCTGTACAACCCTTTGCCGCTTCATCTTTCAGCTTTTCCAATTTTGTTTGTATTTTGGAACAAATTCGACCAGTCATTTTACCACAACTTTGTTTTTCACATGCATACGTATCATTAGTATGCATCTAATGGCCTGAAACATGGAGATAATGGGTTAACACCTTGCATCTAGTAGGCAACGATTGAAAGACTCACACTCATTGTTGAGAAGCATGTCACACCCGCATAGGACTTGAAAAATGACTTCTTGACCACTCTCGAAAAGGTCTATCATGCAACCAATTCTTTGCCTTCTCACTTTGCCTCCCAATATCTTGCATCCACCTCTTGAATTCACTTGTAGTAGTAGCTCGTGCTGCCTTCCAGAGGAAGTCTTTCAGTTACAAGTCACTGAAACATCTTTCCGAAAGTTTGTGTACATGTGGCGTACACAAAATCTATGCTCCACGTCGAATAACTCATCATTTAAGGATGCAATTATTAATCTTAATTACCTTTTGACGATCAGACATAAAGCACCATTAGGATCAACACCAATAGTTGTTAGTAATTGTCCCCAAATATCGGTTTTGATAAAACAACAATCGATGGATATGAACCTCTTGCTCCGGTGGGTGGATTGCCATTTATGTGGAGCATATCAGGATGGGTCTCAAATTCCTGCTGGACCCCATACTGACCCAAACTATCCTCCATCTAAACTGTACACTAGGGTGCCATTCCCCTGGTATTATTTTTCATTCCATAACTTTCAGGGCAGCAAATTTGTTTGGCCTTAGAAAGTACTAGGCGTTTGTGCAGAGCATGAATAAGTCGTATGTTCTTGATAAATGGATGCACTCCAGAACTCTGCGAAACAATGGTCTGTGGGTGGTTGCCCATAACAATTTCCGAAGATTAAGTTAGAGAGAGAATTAAGAATATGTTTTAAGTTTAGAGAGAGATGAAGTAGTTGAGGTTACTATCAATGCTTTCTCGGGGCATTTATACACAGGGGGAGGGTTTAGGGCATTAAATGCCATGTTAGGCCCCCTACACCTACCTTGTCTCGTTCACGACCGCCTACGATGGTAATTAATTTTTAGTCCTACTTATACTAATGTGAATCTTAATCGATCTCCCCCTCCTGTATCCAATATGGCTTTATGTCAGACGGTCCTCCTGTCTTGTCGAAGAGTGGCCGCCTAACTCTCCCTATCCGCGTGCCGGCTGGGCTTCCTTATTGGGGTGGGCCTGCTGACACTTCTCCTTGGGCTTTAAGCACTATACCGCTCAACCACGTGGTCCCATCACGTCACATAAACAAAACACTTACCATTCACTTTTACCTTCAAAAGTTCTCCTGTGATTTAAATTTTGAGTGCTTAAACTTTCTAATTTTCTATAACATATATCTCAAATGCTAAAACCCGAAAGTTCTCCTGTGATTCAAGTTTTGAGTGCTTAAACATTTTAATTTTTGTAACATATATCTCAATTCCTCAAATGCTAAAACTCTAATAATGTTCCGTGAGGAGGCTCATTTTGACAACTGAAATTTGGAACCTGCACTTAACAACTTAATAGTGATGGTGTATACAAACAAACATCAGAAATAACATATCTTTGAAAATCAATAGGCTCCCCCCCCCCCCCCTTCCTAGCTTCTGCAGTAGCAACATCATTGATTTAAAGAAATAGAGGTTACCATCGGTACCCGTTAGGGTTTGGCACATGGGAAGGAGTTTCCTTTTCAAATGGGAATGGGTAACCGTTTTAAACGAGATGAGTACCCAGTCCCGTCACGTTGTCCACCCCTACCTTCAAGATTGATCTCGACGAAATGGTGGCATGAAACCCTCAAGCTTCCATGACAATAACGGTGGTGGCGTTCTCGGCAACGATGGAGGGAAGCATAGCGGGGATGATGTCATCTCCTGTTTTTGTGGTAAGTGTGATGTTGTAGTTCTCTCAATCCCCAAAGCTAGGGATGGTTATACGGTCCGGTCAAACTGGTCCTGATTGACCCGATCCGACTTTTTTGGTAATATGGGGACCAAAGACAGGATTGAGTACAATTCAGTTTTGACCCATTCCCAATCTATTCGGTCTCGCTCCCAATCCGGTTTTGCACGAAAACAATAATAGCTCCCCTCCCTCCTAAACGAACCCATTTTACATGAGATTAGAATTGAAAAAAAAAACTAAGCAACATAAACTACCCATAAGGCACAAACACAGGGGGGTGGTATTCGGGTATTCTGTTATCGGTTTAACCATTTACTGAACCAGTAACTGAAGGTTAATAGTATAACTAGTAACCGGTGGTAGCGATAGAAGGCATCCAAAATTGAAAATAGCCAAACGGTACGCTGCCCTCCCCTGCATATACTCTCCCAAAAAATTCTTCTTCCTCTCGTCTGCATTCCCATAACCCAATTCTTTTCTTCCCCATTCCTCCAAACTCGGGTCAGCCCTCATCTGCCCCGTATGCTGCAATGCTTGGAAAGATGTTCCTCTCATCGCTATCCACAAGAATCTCTAACAGCGTTGCCACTGAGAACAATTTCAAATCTGAAATTATGGAATCTTAGCCTAGAGCCGTAAGCCGCCTCCGTAACCATTGACGCCAAAATTGCTCGATCTAAGGTCTTACAATGACTACGAGCCGCTATCCCCCTCGTCGTTGGCAGATTCATCACGATTCTGGAGGCTGTCGGCGAGAATGTGGAGGAAGACAATTATGAAGAATTTCAAGGATTATATACGAATCCAACTACTTCCTCATTGATGAAATCTCCCCTGCCGTTGCATGCAAGCAGCACCGTGGCGGCAACGATTTTGAACTGGTCACATCGAGGAAAACGGCGAAAGTTCTAGAAGATAGGAGGGATAAAAATCCGGTAGTCACCATCGACACTCGAACTCTTCGTCTCTAATTGCACTCTCTGGCGAGGGAATGTGTTAGGGTGGTAACTAAAATTTTAGTAACCACCGTGGCTACATCACTATCTGCCGTCCATTTTTATTGTTTTCCTCTTTTTTTAATCTCACGGTTAATTTTGTTTCAGGGGAAGTTTGTAAACAAAAAAGAGTCCACACCTGATTATTCTATATATTCTACCCAAACCCTAATCTACCATCCCCCCCAGCCGAACCCTAGACGACGACACCCAACTGCCGGCTACCCGCCCCCCTCTCTTTCTCCTCCGCCCACCACCTCCGCTCCCCCCACCTGCCCTCTCTCCTCCTCCTCCCCACAACCGCCGACTCTCCTCTCTCTCTCTCTCTCTCTCTCTCTACCCAAACACCCTCCCCCTCCCCTGCCCACCAGCCACCACACCGCCCACTCCCCTCCTTCCTTCCCTGCCCACTTCTCTCTCTCTCTCCCCCTTTGTGATATGGCTGTGGCTGGAAAAGGTGAGATGAATAAAAACCCTAGATCTGATTTTCCCCGCATTGGTAGTGATTTTTTCGTAGTGGTAGTGTTTTTTTCGCATTGGTAGTGATATTTTCGTAATGATAGTGTTTTTTCGCATTGGTATTGTTTTTTCCGCATTGGTAGTGTTTTTTTCGCATTGGTATTGATTATCATGTAAGTGTATTGTTTTTTAGTGAATAGTAGTTTTTTTCCCTGTAGTGGTAGTGTTTTCACATTAATTTTTTTTTGCATTGGTATTGATTATCATGTAATGGTATTGATTCGCATTTATTGATATTGATAAATCTGCAATGGTATTGGTGTTTTGTGAAATGGTAGTGTTTTTATTTCATGAATGGTATTGGTGTTTTATGCATTGGTAGTGTTTTTTTAATGGATTGGTATTGTTTTATTGTTGCAGCGGTATTAGTTCAGTTGAACGAAAACAAGGAAAAGATTGGAAAAAAGGTAGAGAGATTGATGGAAACCTACTTTTTAGGTTTAACCATAATTATCAATATTAATATCATTAGGATTTATCTAGATGTGGTTATTAGTCTTTGAGCCATATTAGGATAGTCTATTAGGTTTTTCTAGTCTTTTGCTATAAATATGTAATTGGTGCTTCGTTCATAATCAGTCAAGAAGAATATTAAGAAACCCTCTCCTAAACCCTATTCTCTCAATTCTCTCAATTCTCATTCCAAATCCCTCTAAAGGCCTAGGCCGATTCTCTATCTTTCTCTTCTCAAATCCCTAATTCTGTTCTTAATCCCTAAATCCCCAATTCCCGATAGAACCCTAATCTCAGGTTCTATCATTTGGTATCAGAGCCATGGTCACAGATTTGAGTTCATCACAACTCTCACCAGGGAATTGTTATCAGAAACCCTATCACACGTTTGAAGCTCTCCAAGCCAGTTTAGCTAGGAGGGAAGCTCACGCCGACTATATGATAGCAAGCCTGAAGGAACTTCGAGCCGAACTCGAGCGCTATATGGCCTGGCGTCGAGTGAGCCGCAACCAGCCAGAGGCAACATCAGAGGCCAGTCCAGAAGCCCCTGCCTTACCTGCAGCAGCTCAGGAAAAGGAGACTTCTGACACATCCCTTGCTAACACCGCCGATGAGAAAGAGGCGACCACCGAAAAAGGACCACCTGCTGTCGTGAAACCATCGCCGATGGTCATCACCGTCACTACGCCGCCATTCCCTGCCTTTGAGGGCCCTGAACTAGGGATGCCCATCGTGGCGGCATTGACAAGCAAGAACCCTAAAAGCGTCGTCAGTGATGGTGGGAAGAGAATCCCAGTCTGCATCGCAAACAGGAGATTCAAGAAGAAAAGAAGACCAAAGCAGAAGGATCCGAAGACGATGGAGATATTGGGTTGGCCTCCGGATCGTCGGACAGGGGGTTTCCCGCAACAGAAGGACGATTCCGAGGAGAAGGAGAAGAAGGCAGAAGGCCACTCTCCTCTCGCAAGACCTAGGTCGGAGCTGGGAATCGAGCCGCCAGATATGAGAATCGCGCGAGGAAGGCCACGATCCTCGGCGATTTACTTTGAGGCGCGAATCGCGCGGGAGACCTCGCGATCCGCTGCTCGATTAGTTGACGCGAGGTTGACGGAGAAGGAGAAGGGCGGAGGCAGCGGTGAGCCTCCTTGCATGTCGCCGGGGAAGACGACTAGCACCGCCTCTTGCGTGTCGCCGGGGAAGACGACTAGCACGGCGGCGCTGAGAGCGCCATCCGTCCATCTGGTGGGACGTCCGCTGCAAGGGGAGGAAACGAAGGAGTTAAGGGCGAAGGACGAGGAGAAGAGGCCGGAATTGAGCAGGGCTCATCGCCGCCTGGTGGGTTGCTCGCTATCGGTGGAAGAGCCGCCGACTGAGTCGTCCGGGAAGGGATTGTAGATGGATCTGCCGGCGATTGGGAAAGAGGAAGGCGGCGACCCTCTTGCCGATAACCCTAGGTTCTTGCCGCACTCAACCCAACAGTCATTTGTTTCGGGCCGAAGTGCTTGGGCCGCCGAACTGGAGATGGTAGATGGGGAGGGCCGGGCCGAAGCCATCAATCTTGGCCACGGGCTGGATTTGGCGGAGAAGCTCGGCGGGTTTACTGTGGGTCGATTGGATCAGCAAGGCGGGCTGCAGGTTGACACGAATTGGGCTCCATTTGGGACGAGTCTCGGGCCGCGAATTGGAAAGAAGGAGGCTGAGACAATATCTGAGTGCGGGCTGGAGCTTGGATCGCAGTGGGCCGATGGAGGTTTGAGGGAGGTGTTGATATGACTTGAATCGGATTATCAGCCGCTACGACTGGTAATCGGGTTCTGGGCCTGGTCTGTAACCGTTTCCTTTGCCAGATTGGATTAGGTTTAGACCCACATGGAGAAGTACTATAAATACTTCTCATACTCCTCTGTAATCTGTAATCTCCTCGATATAGTGAAACTGACTCTCTCTCGCCCGTGGACGTAGCTAACACACATCGTGTTAGTGAACCACGTAAATCGTGTGTCGTGTTTTCGATTCTCGCTTTCGTATTCTTGCTTTGTCGATTCCTGCAATTTCCCGATCCGTAGCAGCGCGTTTATAACAAGTGGTATCAGAGCTGCGGCTGGAAATCAGGCTAGGGTTTTCGATTCAGAAGAATGACGTCGGTGAACATGAAGATCGAAAAGTTCACGGGGAAGAACAGTTTCGCTATATGGCAGATCAAGATGCAGGCTTTATTAAAACGGCAAGGGCTGTGGGGGCCGCTGTCTGCTAAACAGAAGAAGGCAGCGGTCGATGACGATGAGTGGAATACCCTAGAGGAGAAGGCCCACTCGACCATCATGCTATCATTGTCTGATGACGTCATCATTGAAGTCGCTGCTGAGAAAACTGTCGCGGGCTTGTGGTTAAAGTTGGAGAGTCTGTATATGACGAAGTCCTTAACCAACAAGCTGCATCTCAAGCAACGGTTGTTCAGCTTGAGGATGCAAGAAGGTACGCCTTTGAGGGAACATCTCGAACAGCTTAACTCTATTTTGCTGGATTTGCGTAATATAGATGTTCAAGTTGATGACAAGGATGCTGCCCTAATCCTACTAGTTTCTTTGCCGAGTTCATATGAGAATTTCGTTGATTCTTTTATTGCTGGTAAAGAAAGCGTGTCTTTGGAGGATGTCAGGTCTGCTCTTCATACGAGAGAGATCAGACATAAGGCGTCTGGATCTGGTACAGGTGGTGAGGCATCGGGTTTGGCTGTTACAGGTGGAAAGGGAAAGAAGAAATTTGGTAAAGGGAATTCAAACAAGAATTCCAAGGGTCCCGGTCCACAGCCAGGTGATGCTTGTCACAACTGTAAGGAAGTGGGGCATTGGAAGTACAACTGTCCCAAGAGAAGAGGGCAACAGAAGAAACAAGGTTCAGTTGCCGTGGCAGAAGTGGACAACAGTTCTGAAGACGATCTCGCCTTGGCTGTAGATGAGAAGGCACATCGTGGGGATGTGTGGTTTCTGGATACTGCAGCCTCATACCATATGTCTCCGAACAGGGATTGCTTCACAACCTACGAGCAGATAGATGGCGGTAACGTGGTCATGGCAAATGGAGCTGTCTGCAAGGTTGTTGGAATCGGGTCCATAAAGGTTCGGACACATGATGGTTTGTTCTGTACCGTGAATGATGTCAGGCATGTTCCACGAATGACAAAGAACCTGATCTCCTTGAATCTACTCGACAGCAAGGGTTTCAGTTTCAAAGGAAAAGGTGGAGTTGTGTATGTCTGCAAAGGTTCAAGGAAGGTGCTGAAGGGCGTGAAGCGTGGGACCTTGTATGCATTACAAGGGTCTGTGTTGTCAGGTTCTGCTGCAGTTGCATCGTCTCAGGTTCATCAGGAAGATATGACCACTCTCTGGCACATGAGATTGGGGCATATGAGTGAACGGGGGATGCAAGTTCTGTCAAAGAGGGATCTTCTTTGCGGACACAAGATGCAGAATTTGGAATTCTGCGAGCATTGTGTGTTTGGGAAGCTACATCGCAGCAAGTTTCCCAAGAAGGGTATCCACCGGACGAAGGGGATACTAGATTACCTCCACACCGACTGTTGGGGTCCTTCACGAGTTGAATCCATTGGAGGCAGCAGGTATTTTCTGTCTATTATTGATGATTATTCGAGATTTACTTGGATTTTCATGATGAAGCAGAAAAGTGAGGCTTTCACGAAGTTCAAGCAGTAGAAGACATTGGTGGAGAATCAGACCGGGAAGAAGATCAAGAAGCTGCGAACGGACAATGGTCTGGAGTTCTGTAGTTCTGAGTTCAACGAATTCTGCAAGGATGAAGGGATTGCCCGTCATCGGACTGTGAGAGATACACCCCAGCAAAATGGCGTTGCAGAAAGGATGAACCAGACATTGTTGGAGAGAGCACGGTGCATGCTCTCTAATGCTGGACTAGAGAGAAGATTCTGGGCAGAAGCAGTGAACATGGCGTGCTTCCTGATCAACCGTGGACCTCACACAGGTATTGAGTTGAAGACTCCTTATGAGGTGTGGTATGGTAAGCCTGCTGATTACTCTTCACTGAAAGTTTTTGGGTGTCCTGTTTATTATCATGTGGATGAGGGTAAACTGAACCCAAGGGCAAAGAAGGGTGTATTTGTGGGTTACGGAGATGGAGTTAAGGGATTTCGAGTCTGGTCACCTTCTGAGCATCGAGTTATACTCAGTAGAAATGTGATATTTGATGAGAAGTCTATGTTTAACCCCATGTTGAAGGTTACTGTTGTTGAAGGTAGCAGGAATGTTGATAAGCAGGTGGAGCTGCAAACTCTCAATGAGAGTGAGTTTGAGCACCAAGGTGGAGAAGATCAACATGATGAGGATGTCTCTGCAGAGCCAGAAACTTCAGAGTCCAGTGCACGAGCTCAACAGTCTATGGCTTCCGGTAGACCGAAGAGAGCGACTGCAGGAGTACCTCCACAGAGGTATGGCTTCGAGGACATGGTGGCGTATTCATTTCAGGTTGCTGAAGAAGTGGATGCAGGAGAGCCACAGTCCTACAGAGAAGCAGTTTCAGGCGGTGAAGCTGATCAGTGGCTTGCCGCAATGGGAGATGAGATGGAATCCCATGACAGGAATCAGACTTGGGAGCTAGTCAAACGACCACAGGGAAGGAAGATTGTTACAAACAAGTGGATCTACAAGAAGAAGGAAGGAATCACTTCTAAAGAGGGCATGAAATTTAAAGCTCGGGTGGTTGCACGAGGCTTCTCGCAGAGGGAAGGAGTTGACTACAATGAGATTTTCTCACCAGTGGTCAGACATACTTCGATCAGAGTGCTACTAGCAATAGTGGCACATTATGACTTGGAGCTTGAGCAGCTAGACGTGAAGACAGCTTTCCTATATGGAGAGTTGGAGGAAGAAATTTACATGACTCAGCCAGAAGGATTCGAGGTTCCTGGAAAAGAAGACTATGTTTGTAAGCTGAAGAAGTCCTTGTATGGACTTAAGCAATCTCCGAGGCAGTGGTACAAAAGATTTGACAGTTACATGCTTGAGCTGGGCTGCAGCAGAAGTCCATATGATTGTTGTGTGTATCACAACAAGGTGGAGGATGGTTCGATGATCTATCTTGTTCTGTATGTGGATGATATGCTCATAGCTGCGAGGTCGAAGTCTGATATCCAGAAGTTAAAGGAGCTTCTCAGTGCTGAGTTTGAGATGAAGGATTTGGGAGCTGCTCAGAAGATCTTGGGTATGGAGATTTACAGGGACAGGTCAAAGAAGAAGCTTTTCTTGTCACAGAAGAGCTACATCCAGAAGATACTGTCGAGGTTTGGCATGTCTTCGGCAAAGCCCTTAAATACTCCTAGTGCTTCAAATGTTCATCTATCCTCAGCTTATGCACCGCAGTCGGAGGCTGAGAAGGAGTACATGTCGAGAGTCCCATATGCTAGTGCAGTAGGTAGCTTGATGTACGCTATGGTATGCACTAGACCTGATCTTGCACATGCTGTTAGTGTTGTCAGCAGGTTTATGATACAACCTGGGAAGGAGCATTGGCAGGCTGTGAAGAGGATCTTCCGGTACCTTAAGGGTACACCTGATGTGGGGATTAGCTTCGGAAGTGATACAGAGTGCTTGGTATCTGGGTATTCTGACTCGGACTATGCTGGAGATGTTGACACGAGGAGATCGATGACCGGTTATGTATTCACTCTTGGGAGTTCTGTAGTGAGCTGGAAGGCAACTTTGCAGTCGGCGGTGACATTGTCTACTACTGAGGCAGAGTATATGGCGTTGACAGAAGCTGCTAAGGAGGGAATATGGTTGAAGGGACTGGTTGGTGATCTTGGTCTACATCATGATCAGGCAGTGGTGTATTGCGACAGTTTGAGTGCAATATGCTTGGCCAAGGATCAAGTCCACCATGAGAGGACTAAGCACATCGATGTGAGGTATCATTTCTTGAGGACAGAGAAGAGGATTAAGGTGAAGAAGGTTGGCACCGCGGATAATCCTGCTGATATGTTCACGAAGCCGGTTCCACATGGCAAGTTCCAACACTGCTTGGACTTGCTGAATGTCTTGAGTGGGTGACTCCGCCCTGCGGGGCATTGATGGCGGGAGAGAGATAGATGGAGAAGAGTACATCAGAGATTTCAGAGGAAGAGGATTCAAGTCAAGGTGGAGATTTGTTGATATGACTTGAATCGGATTATCAGCCGCTACGACTGGTAATCGGGTTCTGGGCCTGGTCTGTAACCGTTTCCTTTGCCAGATTGGATTAGGTTTAGACCCACATGGAGAAGTACTATAAATACTTCTCATACTCCTCTGTAATCTGTAATCTCCTCATATAGTGAAACTGACTCTCTCTCGCCCGTGGACGTAGCTAACACACATCGTGTTAGTGAACCACGTAAATCGTGTGTCGTGTTTTCGATTCTCGCTTTCGTATTCTTGCTTTGTCGATTCCTGCAATTTCCCGATCCGTAGCAGCGCGTTTATAACAGGAGGAGCCGAGCTGGGCTCTGCATGGGCCGCCCAATAACAGTCTCCCAAGGACTTTAGTCTATGTGGTTGGGCCGGTTCAGGAGGGATTTGAGCCCAACATGATCTGGGTTTTGAAGAAGGAAGAAGAAAATGGGTTCATGGAGTTGCAATATGGCCTTCTTAAAGAACATAGCCCAAAGGTAGGTGGTGAAGCAACAAATCAAGTAAGTGGGCTGGTTTCAAGGGAGATTTTTAAGGGCCTTGATGAGTTGGTATTCAAGGATAAGTTCTTGTGCAATAAAGTACCCTTGAATTGTTTAAGTGACGTGACTATGATGCCAACAAAAGAGGAGTTGTTGAAGTTCGAAATTATCGAAGAAGCAATTAGGGAGCCCATGGAAGTGAAAGCCGAAGAAATACATCAACGCGAGAAGGTTGGTGGAAGAAGCCCAATTCAAAAGATGGAGCATAATTGGAAGAAAAGAAAGCGAAAAAGGGTCGATCGGATTAGACGACAAGGTGGGAAGAAACGGATCGAGTCAGCCAACCTTGAGGGCAAGGTTGGTTTTCAAGGGGGAGGGGATGATGGAAACCTACTTTTTAGGTTTAACCATAATTATCAATATTAATATCATTAGGATTTATCTAGATATGGTTATTAGTCTTTGAGCCATATTAGGATAGTCCATTAGGTTTTTCTAGTCTTTTGCTATAAATATGTAATTGGTGCTTCGTTCATAATCAGTCAAGAAGAATATTAAGAAACCCTCTCCTAAACCCTATTCTCTCAATCCTCTCAATTCTCGTTCCCAATCCCTCTAAAGGCCTAGGCCGATTCTCTATCTTTCTCTTCTCAAATCCCTAATTCTGTTCTTAATCCCTAAATCCCCAATTCCCGATAGAACCCTAATCTCAGGTTCTATCAGAGATCTTTTTTTTTTGTAGAAAAGAGGGACGCTAAAGGGCGCTCCAGCCTGAAACTTAAATTAACCGGGTTTGGGAAATACCCAACACGTCATACAGAGTCCAGAAGGACAGACCCGGATCTGAACTCGCCAAAACATGGAAACCTATACTAGTAGAGTGGCCGTTATTAGCAAGGAAATCTGCCACTTTGTTATATTCTCTATAGATGTGGGAAATTCTGACTTCCTAGTTCTGCTGGAGCAATCTCTGAAACTGCAGAATCAGATTATGGTATATGTGCTCCGTCTGATCCTGCAAGGTAAGTATGTTGATTAGAGTAGTGGAGTCCAATTGAAGTAGAACTCTCCTATGCCCGTTCTTCCACGCCATCTGCAATCCTCGAATGGCCGCCATAATCTCTGCCCGGGTGATCGTGCACACTCCAAGGTTCTCCACAAAGGCTCCCATACATTTTCCCGTCCAGTCCCGGATAATGCCACCCCCAGCTGCGTCAGATCCTGGTTGCTTCACTGAGCCGTCGGTGTTGACACACACCCAGTCTTGTGGTGGTGGTGTCCAAGCTAGCTGCTGTGAAGACCTCTCGTGCGTGTCCTTATGTGAAGCAGTGTCATTTTGCTGAGCTTGCCTGATTGTAGACGTCCAACAACCAATGCGTTGCGCCAAAACGTGATCCTCTTGAGTCAGGTTGTGAAAGATCTTCTCATTCCGTCTTTTCCAGAGGTACCAAGCTGCCACACCGAACAAAGCCCCTCCTGATCCCTCTTGAGATGTTCATCAAGCCAAGCTGCAAACCCAAGGCCGTAAGTTAGTGATGTCTCTTGAATACCCAGCCTATTCCATACCTGTAGTGAGCTCGGACACTGGCGCAGAATGTGTTCAGTCATTTCCGGTCCTCCTTTGCACATCGGGCACGTATCATCTGTCGTCAGTCTCCTCCTCTTACGCTGTACATTCGTCATCAGCTGTCATGAAACACCAATGAAAGGAAATGTTTAATGCGGTTCGGGCCAGTCCATTTCCAGAGACGCTTCCAGTGGTGGTGCCAGTTGTCCTCCTCTGCCTCCCATGTTTCGTCACTCAGCCACTCTACTGCCGCGGAATAGGCTGAACGAAGCTTGAACTTCCCATCTGGCTCCATACCCCAGGCAGTAATGTCTTCACCTGTTCCCGGCATGGGAGGATCCGTACCTGCAATCAAAGCCAACAAATTGTCAGTCAGGTGCGCCTCAATATCCTGCCAATTCCACTCACCTTCACTAGTGACCATCTCAGCAACGGTAGTCTGCCAATTAATCCCTTCGCCAGCACCTGTGATGTGGTTACTCAAGATAGTACCCTATGCTAGCCAAGGATCCGTCCAAAATTGAACATTATGGCCTTCCTGGAAGTCCCACACCACCCGCTGCTTAAAGGTAGAGAGATCTGGCTGGAGATTGTGGAAGTGAGAGAAAAAGAGAGAATTGTAATTAATATATTTGTGTAACTTCCTAAAATGTATTTTGTTAAAAAAAGTAATTAATAATTTTTTTCCATACCCAATTTGCCCTTAGTAACCACGGTGATTACTATTTTATAGTAATCACCGTAACCTGTCCTGTTGGCGAGTCGCTTGATTCCATAACCGTTGCTATTGGTGGAGAAACAAGTTCTTCTCCGGTGGTGGTGGTGGTGAATGGTGCGGATAGAGAGTATAGGACCGTGTCCCGAGGCGGTGCATATGCAGATCAGGATCACTGATGCTAAGTCGCCGCCTAGAATTCCCAAGAAGTGCGATGTGTACTCGAGATCGGCATTCGCGATGTCTCCTGCTCCCAAAACACTCCCTCAACCCTCACAGGCCGAAGCCCATCCAAACACACTCTCTCGACATGCAGAAGCCCTCTTACTTGCTAACCCTAAGGAAAGAAGAATAGAGACAGAGGAAGAAAAGAGTAACCCCTGCCGCAGTCGCCGCCAAAGCTAGCATCCCGACGCGCTCTTCTCTTCCCTTCTCTTCTGGATCTCAACTCTTCTCTTCCCTTCCCTTCTCCGCAAGACCATCCACGTCAAGGATTTGCATGTGGTGGAACTCGTTGAGAGAGAGAGGAGACGATGGTGGGGTTTGGGAGCCGGGGTTGCTACTACCTCGGATGAAGAAGCGAAGGCCGGCGGGAACTTAAAGGCGCGATGAACGGCCTCCCTATTAGCAACGAGAGAAGGATCGGATCTGGCAATCCGTTGATGAAAGGAAGAGCAGATAGGAATGGTGGCCCCGCCTTTTGAACCGGTGTTTAGAGGGCTTGGATTGAACAAACGAGCCGGCACTGGAGTGCTCTAGGAGGCAAAGGGGTGAAGGGAAAGTGGGAAAGTTTTTTTTTTTTGGGGGGGGGGGGGGGGGGGGGGGGGGGGGGAAGAGGATGGAAGATTGAAGGGGAAGTGGGAAGAGAAGAAGTTTGGGTTGGTCGGGATCTCGAACCGAACCGGTATATATTTCAATTCGACAAAATCGAATCAAAATATATTTCAGTTCGAATAGGGTTGCACGTTTGGCCTGTTTGGAGGACCCAGTATGCTCCTATTCGGTTCGGTTTTGACCAAACCAAACTGATGCCCACCCCTAGAGAGAAGGGTTTATAGTAGGGGTGAAATCGGTATGGTATCGGTATCCCAATACCAAATACCAAAATCCCGAAATACCGAATTACACTCTAAAGTCAATCTCAATCCGTAAATAATTTCGGTATCCCAATCCCAATCCCAATCTCTAAATATTTAGGTATCCCGATCGGTATTATCGAATGCAAATTAATTATCTTTGTAATTAATAATTAAATATATAAATTAGATTTGATTGTTTAATTTAGGGCAAAGAGACTAAGCAAAGAGTCTTGAGTTTACCTAGAGCTAGGATATGGATAACGAGAATGGAGGAGAGGTGATATCTCAAATTCTTGTCATTGGTAATATTTAATTTGACGAATTGGAGCCTGAGAGACGACTAATACTAGTGTTTGCTTTTTGTTGTTATGAAAATAAAAAGAGATTAGGTGAGAGACGAGAGTGACTAACTTGGAAAGTCAAAATTGAGTTGGGTGAGGCTTCTAAGTTGTGATAGAGTGAGGAATAACTAAACGTTGTGTGCTATATTTAATTAATTTTTAATTTTTTGTATTTCTCGGTATTTCGGTATATACCGATACCAATCGCATAATCCTTAATACCGAATAGCACTCTAAAATGAATTCCAATCTCAATCCTTAAAAAATAAACCGGTATTCGATTACCAAATAGTGATAAATTCGGTACGGTATTCAGCATATCCCAAATACCGGTACCAAACTTCCACCCCTAGTTTTTAGGGTTGGATTCCCATTTTGGGTTGGCGGCGTAAGATGGGATTTGGGTCGGGCGGAGGAAGGGCTTTGCTGGGCTCGGGTGACGGGTCGGGAGTATTGACCAGAGAGAGAGGAAGGTTGGGCTCGATTGTGGTGGACTGGCCTGGTGGGCTCTACCTCTTGGTCTAAGCGGGCTTGGCTCTAGGGCATGTTTTTTAGTTCTCCGGTCTTTCGATATTGATACGGTTTTAACATGGACCAAATTGTTCCGGGGTTTTTGTTAATTTTCGAAACAAAAATGGGATTAGATTGTACACATCCGGTTTTGGTCCTAAACAGTCTAGATTCTACTGTCCGATTTCCGATCAAACCAAAAAACTCGGACCAAATAAACAAAAATGAGATTGGATTGTTGACATCAGGTTTCGGTCCTAAACAGTCTAGGTTTTTCTGTCTGATTTCCAATTAAACCAAAAAACTCGGACCAAATAACCCGTCCTACCCGAAGCCACTTCGATAATTATTGGTGGATTGAATGAAGATCTTATCTTTACCCCGCTTGATTTGATTAATTATAGATATTCCAGCTCTAAGTTCAGCACATGAATGGATGTTAGGATACATTGGTCATCTTAGGAAGCCCATTTCGCATTTTACAATTCCACATCCTATCTTGTCCCGTTTCCTAAAATGACAAAGAGAAGTCACGAACCTTGCTAGAAATCCAATAGAGTTTATTAACCAAAAAGAAAAAGAATGGTAGAAAAAATAACACAAAATGTAAAACCACTACGTGAAGAACAACCCAACCCAAGTAAATCAAAATTGCCACCGTTTCTTTCGGATGCTGGGAACGAATTTCCACAAACAAGGGACATAAATACCAGCTGCTTGACCACTATGAAACCTCCGGAGTAGGATCTTCCACTTCTTCCTCTGTTTTCACACGCTTCGTTTCCGGCCCTTCTTCATCACCACCATTCTCATGGCTGAGGTATCCATTCACAGCCTCTGGTCCCAGAAGGGAAATGTGCTTGCTGGTAATAATACGACCCGCCTTGACTTTGGGGCCCCAGTGCCTCTCTGGATTAGGGAGAAAGCGAGCAACTTTCTTTGCCTGCGCCTTGCTGAGAGACGCAACAGCTCGAGCAAAGTTTGCCTGAAACAAGCAAAAAGAAAATAGTTAGTTAGTACAGTTGGGCAGCTGCTGTGAGTTCATAAAAGCACAAGAGAACAGGAAGTAGAAGGTTATCAGAGAGAAATTGTACTTGCAGAACTGGTTCTTTGGCAAGAATTACGCTTCCAGCCTGATCGAGTGCCTGAGCTTTCACTGGATGGTTTTTAACCTGCGATGATAGATGATAGCACCGATGGTTTAATGGCCACAGGTACAATATTTAGAACGCACATTATTCTTCCTATAACATACAGATAAAGTGCGCTCACCCAGCATCTCATTATATCCCAAATGACATCCATTGGTGCATCGGATTTTAACCCCAGAGGGTTGACGTGAGTTCCTGATATACGATACCCTGCGTTTATCACAGCAGAGCGGAAGATGACTGCAGACGGGGAAGTGCACTTTAGGGTAGCACACAGATTGTGCAAGCTCAAAAAGAGAGGGACATCTGGCAGTTCCTCTGAGATTGTTGTCAGTACCGCAGATATGCGCTCATATGCAGGGTACCGGTCCTTCATAGATTTTACATCTTCAAGTATAGAGGCTACCCATTCTGGATCATGAATTGGAGCAGACCAAACAGGACCACCCATGTTGAATTTCTTCCCACAGTCTGTACATTCTTGAGGTACAGCGGGGCCAAAACCAGGCATATACCTTACGCTGTTATTCTGGAAAATCAAAGCCGTGGTTAAGAATTCAGAATAGGAAGAAATACAATCATATATTGATCAGAATACATAAAAGGATTTCACGTTTTTGTAGGCAATATGGGAAGTTCAGGCTCAGGCATACACAATATACGCTACCTCACAAGCAATGACAATCAAATATTCATGAGATGCAAACCTTGGCAAAGGTCCTTCCAATAGGTTGAAGATGGAAAGAGTCACATCCAATGCATTGGTAAACATAAGATAGCTTGAGAGGAGTATTCTTCATCGCACCGGCTGAACTGTAAAGAACACACCTTACGAGTTTCTTGCTATGGATAATCAAGGCACTACCTTCTACATCCATATATAAGTTTGGAATAAAGTAGTGTCATGAAAGTATAACTTACGTATAGACGCGAACAAAAACCCTTACATAGAAGTCCATCTGTACTGATAGAACAGGAAAAATGTAACGCTTGTATCGATTTGCATGGCTCTGCATTTATAGCCAGGAATTAGTAAAGAAAGCACTCGTAAACCTTACCCAAGCACAGTAATTCATTTGCACAAAGGATCTATATACACCATGACGTAACAGAAAGAACCAATACAATTGCTAATCTTAACGTTTAAGGGAATCCCTTGCCAAATTTACTCCTTTCATATGCAAAAACCATCAATCATTCACAATTAATACAATCGGAATAAGAGTCACTGCATAATTTCTACTTTATCACTATTTTTAAGGGGTAGGGAGGTACCTCAATCGAAGCAAGTAGGATCCTCAGAGCCATTTCATGGCAATATTTTCCCCTCAATGGGTAGGAACCGTACCTAGATTAACAAATATGAGTTAAGACGAGCCAATATAAACAAATCAGCATTCAAAGTAAAGTGAGGGATGCATTTTCTTACTTGGAATAGCAAACCTCACCATTACCTCCACAAAGCACTGCCATATCAGTTGCTGTGCACATTAGAATGCCACCATCAGCAACTGACTGAACAGCAGAGTCCAGAAACACTGAAGGTGACCCGTAAGGATCAAGATCAACCTGAGATAATACGAAAAAACACATTAGGAACAGCCCTCCCCCCATCAAGGCCACTGGTTTTAACATATATCACGATAGAAGTCTAGCTCTTTTCAATTCCAGAAGTTAATCACGCCTCGGATGTAGCTACATTTGAACACAGACAACCACCTAAGGATTAAACATACCACATCAAACTCTTTTGGATGAGTCAACATGTATACACGAGCATCAGCAAGATTGGATTCCACCTTGGAAATTGCCACAGAACCATTGAACTTTATATTTCTCCTGCAGGCTTCAACTGAAGCTGAAAGCAAAAGAAATATACCAAAATAAGAAAATCAGAGCAGGTTAACCGGATCCATCAAGAAGCTATGGCCTACAAAAAGACTCACCTTTATCATTGTCCAAAGCCACAATTTGACCAATCCCTTCAATTTCACGAGCATACCTCAGAGCTCTTAAACCGGATGCTGACAGAGCCTACATGCGCAGGAAAATACTTAGCAAGTGACTGCAGCATATCCACAGTATTGTAAAGAGCTACAAGAGAGTTTGTATTCAAGAACCTCAAGAACCCTGGGAGGTTTTAGCTCCACTCTAACTTTTCCCTCGGCGGTCTTCACCATTTCTTCAAAGGTGGTGCAAGGTTCAGCTGTAGAAGTCTTTTCAGCGACTTCAGAAGTCTCTTTAGGGACTTTAGTGTTTCCATTGCATTTCTCTTCATTAACAGCAGACTCAGCAGCACCACTTTCAGAAACCTTAGCTGCAGACTTGGTTCTTTTGGACAGCTTGGCTTCATGCTCTTCCTTGCGTTTGGATATAAATGTCCTCAGCACAGCAATTGATATATCACGATTGTTGACCTGCCCATTTACAGAACAAGTTATCTGGATTACTTCATTACCCACATAACCAGCAATTCAATTAATAAACTCCTCCAGCACATTATTGGACATCTTCCTTCAGTTAACTGAAGCAAGAATTCATGAACTACTATATTTAAGCATCAAATAAGAAACGTCAAAGAATGAGAACCGTTTTTCATAGCACAGCATTATTCCAACTTAACCAACCCAATTAGATATAATTCAAAACAGAAAAAGCTTAAACCTCCCACCAAAACCCATCTTCCAGTTCACTTATTACAGCAAACAAAATGAATCAGGGAATTCATCGGGACCTGGGTCTTGTTATAGAAGACTTCATTTTTAGCATGCATAAGAATCTCAGCCTCTCCTTCCTTGACGACGGTTAATTCATCGAGCTCAGCTGCCATTGCCTCTCTCCTTTCTTCTCCCCGCTCAACCAAACTGCTCTTCTTTTCGCTCCTTACTGCCACTCCTATCGAAGCCTTCAAAGCTAGCACCTTTATGGATGGGAAGCAAAAGTAGCTAGTTGCAGTTATCGATTTTTGCTGTTTCAATGATATTGTAATCAACAAGTTCATGAAAACTCCCAAGAAGTTCCCATGATATACATGGAGAGTAGAAAAGTTCGTCCCACGTTCTCCTTTTCTTCCGAGGAAACTTGCTAACTTCCGAGCGCTGCCACTCGCCCACAAGCGACCTTAAACCCTAACTTTCTAACACCGGAGCATGTTAAAATTTCCTCGTTTGTCCCGCTAAAGTGAGCTTGAGGGAGTAGTTAGTCAATTTGCGTGGACTCGACCTTAAACCCTAACTTTCTAACACCGGAGCATGTTAAAATTTCCTCGTTTATCCCGCTAAAGTGAGCTTGAGGGAGTAGTTAGTCAATTTGCGTGGACTTCAAATTTTGGCTCCCTCCGGGGCCCGTTGGCTCATCATATTTTCTGGGCTTATGTAAGTTGGTACAAGTCCAGCCCAATTGCTAAAACCCTAGCGCTCCAAATGGCGTTCTACAATTAAACCCTGAAAATCTACCAAAGCTTCACCAGAAGTTCTCTTTCACAGAAGTTCTCCTTGTTAAGCTCTGTGATCCTCCCAGCAGCAGCGGCGGCGAAGTAGAAGAAGAACAATGAGACCCCCGAGAGGCGGTGGCGGGTTTAGAGGAGGACGAGACGGCGGTCGCGGAGGTGCCGGACGAGGTTTCCGTGGCGGGCGTGGCGGCGGCGGACGGTTTGGTGGTGGTGGTTTTCGGGATGAAGGACCTCCTTCTGAAGTCGTAGGTTAGTCTTGTCTTGTCTTTGTTACCTTTCTTTTCTTTTCATTCATGTTTATTTCTTATCGCAGCTGAAACAGCTACTTAAGGGAACTAGACAAGTTATTTTTATATTTCATATTTGATCTTTGAACATTGCATTAGATGTTTCGCCTCCGAGAGAACAGAGGGGGAAAAGGAAGCAGAAGTGGTGAAGTTTGCATCTTTGAACTGTTTTTTACTTTGATTGGGCATAAGACCAGTCTGTTTCTCGGATAATAGTGATATGATTAAGCTTTAGAATAGCTGGTAGAACTGTGAACTTAAATAATGAGAGAACTGAAGAAGTTGTTTTGGTTGACATTTCAAACTGTCAACATGCATTTGATGGTTGGTCTCTGGCCAACAGGTGCAATGGTGAATGTCTGCATCTCTGCAGTGCTTAACTTCGAGTTTAAACTTAACATTGGCAATACTTTTGTTCTTGGGATTCGACAAAAGGGTGTATGATTGAGCTTGGAGTTAGCTGACTCAAAAAATGCATAAGCCTAGTGTCTCTAACTCAAATGATGATTTTTATGGTGCGTATTCTGCTAATTTTGGCAGAGATTTCGACGTTTCTTCATGCCTGCGAGGGTGATGCTGTTACAAAGCTCAGCAATGAGAAAATTCCTTACTTCAACGCCCCAATCTTTCTGCAGAACAAGACCCAGATAGGCAAAGTGGACGAGATCTTCGGCCCCATTAATGAATCTGCAAGTGTTCTTACATCTCACCATTCCGTTTAGCAAGCACTTCCCCTCTTCATTGTGAACTTTCTGTTTCTCATGTTATCTCCCTTGTATGTTTTGCAGTTTTTCTCTATCAAAATGATGGAAGGCATTGTGGCAAGTTCCTATGCTCCTGGAGACAAATTCTTCATTGACCCCAATAAGCTTTTGCCTCTTGCAAGATTCCTGCCACAGCCAAAGTATGTTTCTTGCCTTACCATTTGAAACTTCGTTTCTGGCTTCCATGATCCTTGTTCATGGCTTCATTCATCAGCCTTACCTATTGTTGAAATGAATTCTTGATGCTGGTACTTAATTCATATTTATTCTGATGTTGGAGCAGGGGACAAGCAACTGCTACAAGAGGAGGCCGTGGAGGAGGCAGGGGAGGAGGTTTTAGAGGTGGTGGCCGTGGAGGAGGCTTTAGAGGAAGGGGTGCTCCAAGAGGTGGAGGAGGCTTTAGAGGCAGGGGTCCTCCAAGAGGTGGTTTTAGGGGTAGAGGAAGATCATAGGCAAAAAGTTTATGTATTGTCATTGATGATACTAAGTGTACTCTTGTGGTCTACTGATGGCCATCGATAACCTCAACTCTTTTTATGATGTCCAACTATTTAGCATCAATGGAAGCTTTCTGTTTAGCCCTGTTTGTCTATTGAATTTCCTGTTGAAATCTTCCGTGGATATGAATGAAGCTGCTCCATAGCTAACTTTTAAGATTAACCCGTCTTAGGCTGTCATCTTATAGCTTACATTTCTCTGAATCGGCGCAAAGACTTGATTGAATCGAAAGCCAGTTTCGGTCCAGAAGTTTGAATTCGGCAAATGTAAGATTGCATTGAACTGAATTGGCATGGGAATCAAAAGCAAGTTTCTGCTAGGAAGTTTTGATGGGTCATATGTAAATTGTATAGTTGTACACCCCTTTGTACATTTCCATTCACCCATTTTGAACAAGATAACCCACTTTGTACATTCTTCATTCATCTATTATATGAACTCGATAAAGTATAAACTAAGCTTAAACTGAAGAGGCATAAAGGAAACTTGATAACGGTTTCTATCATTTCAGTAATAATCGGCCCTTCCAGTCATATCTCTGCCCACAAATACCATGGCAGAATTCACAACTGATCATGATATGCAGATGGCTTTCTTTGTGGTATGATTACCACTCATATTCTAAACTAAAATTTAATGTAACTTGGATACATTTCCCTCCTTTATGCAAGGAATCGGAATGACAAATCACGCACTGAAAATATGGCCGAGTAGATATGGCAAGAAATAAATCTTGGTTATGAGAAATTGCTGCAGACTATATAAAGAAAAAAGAACGGGTAGGGGCTGCAGCTGAAGCCTTTCAAAACCTTATTCCAAATTAGTGATCATCATCATCAGAATCTCATCATCAAGCTTCCCAACCTCGAAGAACAGTAGCTCGGGCAACACGGTTAACTCCGAGGGTGAAGGCGCCCATCCTGAGATCACAATCATGCGTTTTGCACATCTCCTTCACATCTTTGAACCCTTTGGTCATGTAAGTCTTCAGTACATCATTCACTTTCTCTTCCTCCCACATGAATCCTTGAATGTTCTGGACATATACAGGCACATAATCAAAAGAAGGGTTCATCGGAACAAGTCGTGGATAAAAGATGGTACTGGAGAAAACTGGAGAGATACAATACCTGCACCCACTCAAAGTAACTAACAGTAACTCCGCCCGAGTTTGCATAAATATCTGGAAGAATCACAACACCTTTCTTTGACAATATCTGCAAAAAGAAAATTTGATGCATTTAGGGTTTATAATCTTCAACATTTTGCGAGTTCATTCACAACTCTGAGCCCCTCAAACAATTCAAGCACAAACCTCATCAGCTTCTGGATCAGTTGGATGATTAGCAGCTTCAACAATGAATTTGGCTTTGATATCATTGGCATTTTCCCTTCAATCACCCAAAAGGAGGAAGGAAGAAGCTCTCGTTTAGTTCCAGCGATTTCAGTAGTTAACAATCTCATAAGCAGTTAAAAGATTCTGCTCAACACCAAAAACAAACCTGTTGATGACACCTCCAAGGGCAGCTGGGATTAGGATGTCACAGTCCTCAACTAATACTGATTGGGGTTCAATGGCATCAGCTCCATGAAACCCTTTCACACCCTTGTGTTCCTTCACATGTTTCATGAGACTTGGTACATCAATTCCTTTGCTATTCTTGATAGCCCCAGTGATGTCACTCACTGCAACAACCTTCCCACCTTGCTCATGAATCAGTTGGGCAGCCCAGGAACCCACATTACCAAAACCCTAGATATCGTGAAACCATCAATCCATGATGGATAAAGGACAAAAGTGAAATCCTCTCACCAAAAAACCCTAATGTCATTGGCTAAGAAAGTTGCAAACCTGTATGGCGAATCGCTGTCCAGAAACAGTCTTTCCATGCTCATTCAGCAAGGCCTCTGCTGCAAACAGCACTCCTCTCCCAGTTGCAGCATCTCTCCCAAGTGACCCACCAAGATCCTAAATTCATGATGAAAGTTCGCACACAACATGCGATTATGTAAACAAATTGCACAGGCAAACAACAAAATCTGATCCAAGGCCGAGAAGAAAAAAGGTAATCTTACAATGGGTTTTCCTGTGACCACAGCAGGTGAGTGGCCATGGAATTTGGAGTATTCGTCGAGAATCCAAGCCATGGTCTGTTAGCACATGAAAGGCAGAGACTTTCAAGATCAATTCCGTGCTCAGAAAGCACAATTTTGGACCAGGAATGAAAAGGGTTAGTTTTTACTTTACCTGAGGGCCAGTGCCCATATCAGGGGCAGGAACATCAATATGAATTCCAATCAAATCATGAATCTTTTGGGTGAATACCCTAGTAAGCCTTTCTAGTTCTGAAATGCTCAGGTCTCCTGGGTTGCATCCAATCCCACCTTTTGCACCACCATATGGAATATTTGCCACTGCAGTTTTCCATGTCATGAGCTGTGCTAGTGCATTCACTTCATCAGGATCAACCTGTAAAAAAACAGCAAAAGATCCAATAAGAAAAAACAAAAGGAGAGATTTTTACTGAAAAGGACAAAAGGAAAAAAGGGCGATCTGGGAAAAAAGGAAGAATATCAACAAAAAAAAACCTCAGGATGATATCGGATTCCTCCTTTCATGGGACCTCTGGCATTGTCATGCTGAACCCTGAACCCAACAAATGATGCCAAAGTTCCATCATCTTTAGGAATTGTACATTCAACCTGCAATTAAAAAAAATTACAGCAACCCACCACAACAAAAAAAAAAAAAAAAAAAAATTCGTTGAATTAGTTCCATTTTGTTCCAATAAAAATGGAGCAGGAATCAAAACAATCCCTACACACTGATACAACGAGAGGAAGTTCCCAGAGAAGGAACACCCTGAAAAGTGAAAAGCCTATAACAAACAACCCCACTGTACAACTCAACCCAGCTAAATATTCGATCAGAACACCAAAACCGGTGAAAACCCAGTTGTCCTTTGAACGCAAAGATCATAACTTTGTGAGGGAGATCGATGGATTCTTACCTTGATTTCTCTGAAAGGGATGAGCAAGCTCTTCTCGAGCTTGGAGTCAAGACCCAAAAGCCTAGCTGCTAGCTTGAAGTTTCTGTTGGTTGCTGCTAATGCGTTCATGGTTCCTCTTTTTCTAATCAAAACCCAGAATACAAGAGATTAAGAGAGAGGGGAAAAGGAGAAATGGAAGAGAAAGCTGAATGCAGAATGGGATGCGACGAACCGTCAGTGTGTGTGATGTATTTATACAGAGCAAGTAAGAAATCGAAGTCAATTTTGAGTAACCCATTAATCAATTTTGCTACTTCTTGATTTCTTGCCTTATGTATACAAGGATAGGATAGAGGATCCATGTCATACACCAGTAGACATTTCTCATTAATCACATTAACAAAAATGAAAACATGAAATGAAGAAGAAAGAAAGAAAGAAGAACCTTTTTTTTCCTCCTAAATTAGTCAATACTGAGCACCGCCTATGAACTTGCTAGAAGGTTAGGTAAATAGCAGAGCATAGAGAAAGAAGAAAGCAAGTTGTGGTCCATTTATCAGCCTTTTTTCTTCCCTTGAAACGTGGAACTGTGGAAGGGTGTTTCAGTGCTTTGTCTAGTACTTCCTTATGTTTCCAATGAGATACATGTTCCATAAAACTAACAAATTGATTACTAAATTACTAATATATACTTCCTTATATACTTGTAACATTATCGTAGAACTAAATTACTAATAGAATAATTTAGTGATCACATGTTCGAATTTCTTTTTTTTTTTTACCATGTAACATTATAACCCATTTTATTTATGATTGTTTTGTGTCTCTTTTTACACAATTTTATTTTTGAGTGTGTTTTTTTAAGAAGCTTACTATGTCTACATTGCTCCCCTACGCTATTACCACATTCAAATTTAGAGTTTTTATAAAAACTTCTTCATTATTCTAAAAAGTATGCTTTGTCGGTGAATCTATCACATAGTTGGTCAGTGTGGAATTTATCTAAAATATTAGAAATTATTTATGATAAAAATGTTTTTAATGTAGGATTGACAAAAGTAGACTTTTTAATTCTTTTTACTGAGATAGTAGACTTATTTTGATTAAATGTAACTTTTTCATTAAAATAATAAATTAAAGTTTTTTTGTTGTAGAATGAACCTACCTTAAACTTTATTATTATCTGATTTTTTTAGCAGAAAAATGCCCAATTTAAATCGTATCAGTTATGATTTGTATGCAACTTCAGTTCATATTTTTTTTGTGGCTGCTTTGCGGAACACAAGTGGGGAGCGGCGGCGATAAGTAAAATGATAGGTATGAAATTGCTGGCAATTATATGGTAATCTCGTTGGATATATTAGGAATTAGAGAGCCAGCTACCAAAGATTAATTCAAATAAAATTATATGTCAACTAATATCCCAAAATAAAAATAAGAAGTTGACAAATTTTAAGGTTTCTGCCTACAAATATCTGTCATTCCTATCATCATGTCGGGTGACTTCATTAGTTTATCGTTAAAATTTCTTAAAATGTGATAAATAAGATAAAATAGTTTCATTTTTTCACATAATTCGATGAGTTGCCATCCTTTTCATATAAGTAAATGAGCTGCCCATCTCAATAGTTTGAATTTTTCGAAACTCGACTCAACACGAAAAATTGGAAAACATCCCGACAAATTCAATTTTTTGTAATGCATGAACCTATTGATTGAATCAACCTATCATTGGTCAAGATCACAAGCTGTTTTACCATATAGCTTTTTCTTTTCTTCTTCTTATGAACTGGTAGTTCTAAGTTAAACTTCTTACTACCAAGCTAATCGTACTAAATTTCGGTAGGATTAAACCAATAGTTATAACAACAAACGGAACATGTAAAAGATAGAAAATGAACTCCTAGAAATCCAGTGGCCATAAAGAAAGAAAGAAAGAGGAGTGTTTGAAGTGAGCTTAATTACCAGAAAATAAGTGGAGGTGGAAGGAGTAGAAGCAGCAGCAAGAGGCAGAAATGAAACAGCCTGTCCAAAGGAGATAGATATAATATAGTTTAGTTGGTTAATGAATGAATGAAGTTCATCAGCTGAATCTTCAAACATATATAGTGGGAGGCTAGCTACAACATAATTATGCGTTTCCCACCAAAGCAGAACCCAATTCTTTCTTCCATCTCTCTCTCTCTCTCTAGTTTGGAATCCAATAGCTAGCTAGCTAGCATGCCACGATGATGCATGCAAAAGTAATTACAAGATGGAGTGGGGAACAGATATCTGACGTTGGTGGAGCAATTGGGTATAGCTTTGCTTTGTCTCCCTAACGTAACAGACAAGTTTCTCTTCACTACCCTTTCCACTTTGCTTCCCTTTTTCTGTGTTTCATAAAAGACAGTGAAGAGTGAGAGTGAGAGGCGAAGGGAATTCAATTCAAGAACAGGATGCCCTTCCCCTTCCTTTCCCCTCTCCTCCATGTGGTAGTGGTATAAATCACAAACACATATAGGGTTGGTTTGGATTAGGGAATGTGTAAATGAGGGATTTGGATTAAAATCTCTCAATTAAAAATCCAGGTATTTCAAACGTGGGATTTGATCCAAATAACATGTTTGGAAATAGATGAAGGATTTTAATTAAAAACTAAAGTTACAGTTATACCCATCCCTAATCCCTAAGGAAGAATAAGAAAGGAAGAACAAAAGGAGGGGCAGAGTTTGGAAAAGAATGAGAAAAAATGAGTGATAGTGAAATAACTGATCCCCATCAGGTATTTTAAAAACTCTCATATGAGGGATTTAGAATTTCCTCATGCCCACAATCTCTCACCTTTCCAAACGCAGAATTGTTTTAAAATCCTGCACAACGAGAGATTGTTTTAAAATCACTCATAAATCCCTCATCACATTCACTAATCCAAACCACCCCATATAGTCAGCCATCACAAAAGCTGCATTCTTCACTATCCAACATAACTTGTACATTTCTTTCCATGATCAGACTTTTCATCAATTGAGTTAGGTAAAAATAAAAATCACGTTTCTTATCCGACTGATTCCAATGGTAGGCCGTGAAAGTTTGTGTTGCTAATTCGTTTCCCACAACCTAACGCTCTAACAAAATGCACTCCTAATTTTTCTTTTTTCCAGATAACTATACTACTGAAATCACGATTTACCCTCATGATTGTGTAGTTTTTTTTTTCCAGATAAAACGCAAACAAGACGGTAACCGACGACAGAGACACTAGTATCATGTAATCGTTTCACAGTTTTACCTTCCCATTATCCTCACTTGTCTCATCTCTACTCCTAGTTTACAAATATTACTACAAGCCACTAGCTAGCTAGCAAGGAAATCATAAGAATAGAAGAGCAAGAGAGAATCTTACGTGGAATAACACCCCACAAAAATCAGATTCCAATGGTGGCTTATCAGTAGTCACTGCCGTGCTGTTGTGAGCTGCAAGCTTTCCAACTGTGAGTGCACGAACGTGAATCCTACACGGAATCCCAATATATATAGAGAGAGAATTCCCCCCTCACGCCTAAGCCCTAACCCACTTTAAATATGCTAACTAATGGCGACTTTTTCTTATGAACGACTGTAATGTAGGCTGTAGCCAATTATTAATTTATTCCTCATTTTAGGGTTTCTATTTAGTTAAGAACAACTTCCTTATTTGGGTCTTGGGTTAACTTAAAATGAATCTTGGCCGATACTTTGCTGATTTGCCTCCCAATTAGTAAGATACAATTGGATTTCCAACTGAGGTTTACAATTTATTCTAGTGCCAGAATATGACTAAATTAGTGAGAGGTATGTCAACTTATACGGTTCTACATTAAGGTAAAATGGCTGGGATGGGGCATTAAATTATGACAAATGAGGGAATTATACCACTTAAATTAAAATTGTGCACCCAATTTCTTTCTCCGTCTATTTTCCATCAAATCACTAACGGTAAGAATAAAAAAAAATAGTTATTTTGCGACATAAACCAATTTATTCACATCCAATTTATTCTCAGCATCACCAACCTCCCCCATAGGGGCTCAAGATACAGTGCATAATCATTGGATATGCACCCATTAGTAACTAAATATGGATAATTTATTCAGAAAATTCAGATCTAAGGGGGGAGAATTATAGACATTTTTATTTTTTCTTGTTTTCTTAATCGACTCATATCTTCTTCATTTTAACTTGGATTTCAATTTTTTTGTACAGATGTAACGAGTTAGTTGTGCTCTACAAAATCATATCAATTTTCAATATTTTTTCAGAATTTTTTTTTCTTACCTCTCGGTACCAGCTGCATACCATATGGTATCTTCTTCGTTTGTAATTAGTTTTTGAAAATTTTTGCACAGAAGGAACGAGTTCATCATGATCTATTGGATCTACAAATTTGTGAACAAAATACAGGACCAAACAATACCACACAATACCACCCTGGTACGGGGTGGTATCTTGTGGTACACAATGTTAAAAGTCGTAAATGACAGTTAATATACTTCTACTATCATTTATTCAACCATCCTACAGTCTTGGTTTGTTCATACCACCATGATACGCTTTTCATATCATAGGTATGATCTTATTTCAATACCAGTCAATACCATATAGTATAGACTAGTTAAAAATGGCTCAATTTTTTTTTTTAAATATATCAAAGTGGATATCATTTTTAAGAGCACATTAATATGATCTAACTGTGCAAAAAAAAATTCGATTTAAAATGAGTGAGAAATCGTCCGTTAAAGATTAAGAGGGGGAAAATTATATGCTTTTCAAGAGAGAGAATGGGCGGTGATGTGGTAGATTCTGATTGGGTTATACATAGTTATTGACCACAAGGTTATTGAAAGAATCCGCTCCCCCCACCGGGAGCAGTTTCTATGAATAACCTTGTGGTGAGTAAACATGCATAATCCAATCATCCCCCACATCAGCAGTCATTCTCTCTCCTGAAAAGTCTTTAATTTTTCCCCCTTAATTTTCAACGGACGATTTCTCACTCGTTTTTAATTCGGAATTTAAATTTTTTTGCACAGTTTGATTAGATTAGTTGTGCTCTTCAAAATTATATCCACTTTGATATAATTTTTATCAAAAAAATTGACTCATTTTTTACTATTATATACCATATGGTATTGACTGGTATTAAATAAGAACATATCATATGGTATGAAAAAACTTACCATTGTGGTATTAACATACCAAGATTGTAGGATAATTGAATACATTATAGTAGAAGTATACTAACTGTCATATACGACTTTCAACATTGTGTACCACAAAATACCACCCTTTACCAGGGTGGTATTAGGTGGTACTGTGTGGTATATTTTGGTCATGTATTTTTTCATCCAAAAATTTGTAGATCCAGTAGATCATGATGAACTCGTTCATTCTGTGCAAAAATGTTCAAAAATGACTTAAAAGAGAAGAAGATACCATATGGTATGCAGTTGGTAACGAGAGGCACCTAATTTTTTTCTCAAAAAATATTGAAAATTGATCTCATTTTGTAGAGCAACACGAACTCGTTCCATCTATGCAAAAAAAATTTGAAATTCGAGTTAAAACGAAGAAAATATGAGCCGATTAATAAACAAGGGGAAATAAAAATGTTTCTCCCTCCACCTTTAGTATACTGAGTGATATTGATGAGTCTAGGTAGTGAAGCTGCAAGCAGCACCAAGAAAAGACAGTAAGAAGTTAGGGGCTAAGCCCTCGACTTCCCGATGATTTTTCTCTATTGGAACGTTCGAGGGTTTAATAAACCCTCGAAGAGATAGGATTTTGTCAAAATCCTGTGAAAGCACAGAGTTGATGTGGTTGCAGTTCTCGAGACAAGAGTCCATGAATATAAAGCGGAGTAAGAGATTAAAGGTTATTTTGATGGTTGGGAGAAGTTTTTGAACTATGTAGATTCTGACTTAGGAAGGATATGGTTATTTTGGTCCCCTGAATGTAAGCTAAGGGTGCTTAAACCAAGTAAGAACTTCGTTCATTGCCTGGTGCATAGTGCTTCTTGTGAGTCTTACTTCTTCACAGCAGTATATGCATCAAATGAGGAAGCTAAGTTGAATGACGAGATACACACACTGAATTTAGTAGGTATAAGGTAGATGGCCAAGCTTGGATTGTGGGGGGTGATTTCAATATAGTGATGTCCCCAGAGGAGGCATCCAATCAGCGTTACATCACTGCCAGTATGGTGGATTTTTCTGGCGGGATGAAGAATATGAACTAGTGAACTATCGGACTAAAAGTCCGATTTTCACGTGGTCCAACAACCAGGAATCCAATCCTATAGGAAAAAAATCTGATTGAGGCCTTGTGAATGTTGACTGGATTGAGAGCTTTCCTAATGGCACAATGGAGGTGATTCTTGGATCCTTTTCTGATCATGGTAGGATTTTAGTCAATACTGCTACGATAATGAAGAGTCTCCCAAATCGTTTAAATACTTTGATAATATCAGTGAGCAGGTTCGGGTAGTGGAGCAGCAGCTTGGGGTACTCGGTTCACAGGAAACCTCCTTTATGTAGTACAATGCAAGCTAAAGGTTGTGAAGAGGGAACTTAAGAAGTTGAACAGAGAAGTATATGATAATATCAGTGAGCAGGTTCGGGTAGTGGAGCAGCAGCTTCTAGTGGCTCAGCACTAGCATTAATGGAGCCATCAGAAGAGCATTTCAAGGATACAAAATTACTCCAAGAACAGTTTGAAGTGTTGAGGAAAGCTGAAGAGGATTTCTATAAAAGGAAATCTTGAGAATCTTGGCTCTCTAAAGGTGACCTGGGGACTAGATTCTTCCACCAAGCTGTTAGGATTCGAACTTCAAAAACTACCATAAGGAAGATTGTCTTAGATTCAGGGGCTGAAGTGACTGATGTTGATGAAATTGCAGCTGAGGGTATTAAATTCTATAAAGGTCTATTTGGTTTTATTAATGAGGATGTGGTAGCTAATGAAGAGAGGATTTGCGACGTAATCAAAATGCATTTGACTGAAGATGAACAGAGCATGCTGATCAGGCCATTCATAGAAGCAGGTGTCCGCGAAGCGATATTTAGCATGGATATACACAGAGCACCAAGCCCTGATGGATTTTTTGCAATTTTTTTCCAGAAAACTTGGCATATTGTGGGAAGGGATGTGACTAGTGCTATCTTGGAGTTCTTTCAAATAAAGAGAATGATCGGTGGGATAATTTCTACAGTGGTTTCTCTATGTCCAAAGGTACCCAATGCTATTCATCTTAAAGATTTTAGACCTATTTCTTGCGTGGATATAGTCTACAAGATAGTTGCTAAGATGCTGTCAAAATGAATTAGAGAGGTCCTGCCTACTGTGATTAGCCCAAATCAAACTGCTTTTATTAAGGGGCGCAGAATTATGGATAACATTATGTTGGCACAAGAACTTGTCAATGGTTATCATAGGAGAATGTTACCATCTCATTGTGCGATAAAAGTAGACCTTATGAAAGCATTTGATTCGGTGAATTGGGATTATCTGTTCAAGGTGATGAAGGCAATGGGATATCCAGTAGAATTTCTATGTTGGATTAAAGCTTGTTTGCAAACTATTCACTTTAGTTTGAATATAAATGGAGGATTATGCGAGTTCTTCAAAGCCGCCAAGGGAGTGAGGCAGGGAGACCCGATCTCCCCATATATGTTCGCTATTGCGATGAAGGGTTTATATGGCTTGTTGAATGAGGCTACATAGTCAGGCAGCCTCCCATTTCACCCAAGATGCAAACAGATTGCAATGAGTCATCTGTGTTTTGCAGATGACTTATTGATCTTCACATAGGGTTCTGGTCAAGCAATTAACAAAGTGAAACAGGTCCTGCAAGGCTTCTACTTACTGTTAGGATTGCGTTGTAACCCTAGCAAGTGTGAGATCTATTTTGGAGGAGAGTCCTATAAATATAAGGATAATGCTATTAGTCTCACTAGTTTTAAAGAAGGAACTCTACTAGTGCGATATGTAGACTTGCCTCTGCACTCTGGGAAGCTTACAGATAAGGAATATGATCTCCTTATAGGCCGGATTACAAAGAAGGTCACGTCCTGGAGGTCAAAGAAATTTACTTATGCAGGTCGGTTGCAACTGGTATCTTCTGTGTTTATTAGTGTGGTCCAGTAATGCCTTCAAATTATTACATTGCCAAAGAAGGTTTTAAAGCGAGTTCTAAAGGTGTGCCAAGACTTCTTATGGCATGGTGAGGAAACAGGAAGGGCAAAAGTAGCTTGGCATCGCATTGCAGTGCCCAAAAATGAAGGTGGTCTAGGGTTACGGGATCTGACTTCGTGGAATTAGGCTTGCTATCTTAGACTTCTGTGGCTCATGTTGATGCAATCAGGTGCTTTATGGGTAACCTGAGTGATGGTGTATCGCTGCAAAAGGGATGATGTATGACGATTGAAAGTTAACTCCAGCAGCTCTTGGGCGTGGAGGAATGTATTGTGACTTCGTCCTAAAGTTCAACATCTTCTTTGTAAGAAGGGAGATAGAGTTCTTTGGGATGGACAACCTATGGAGCAGTACTCTGCTAAACGTGTATGGAACACACTTCGCCCTAATTGCAGTAAGCAATATTTGTATAAGTTGATATGGGGAAAGCATAGTACCCATAGATTCAGTTTCACTGCTTGGCTTATAGTGATGAATGCCTTCACGACTCGAAGCAAGTTACTTAAATGGGGGAGAATTGGTGATGACAGATGTTTGCTTTGTGGGTTGGAAAGTGAAGACAGGAAGCATTTGTTTTTTGCTTGTATGTTTGTGCAGCAACTTTTGCAGATTGCTGGTGTTGTTCAATGGTTTGTAGAGCCCTGGGTGAGAGTGTTGAGATCGGCAAGTGAGTTGGCTAAACAACAAACACTAGCGGGAGAGCATTGTGTGTTCTATGGTGTGGAAGTTCTGCAGCAATATGGCGGGAAAGGTGTCGCAGATTCCATGGTGCTAGAAAGCTTTCATAGTTGACCTGTTGTTGATTACAGAGTAGAGAATGGCTGAGTTGTGAGGATTGTTCTTCTTTTTCCAGGGGAGTTCACAATGGACTCTCCCTTTCGTTGTATCAGTTCAGTATCGTATTTTGCGATGCTTTGGTTAATAATAGTGGCTCTGATTCAACAAAAAATGACTTTAATTTTTCATCTTTAGATCTAGATTTTATGGTCCCACTTAAATCTGATGGCTGGGATTTAGTTACTAATGATGAGTAACCATGAGGTCACTGACGGCAACTTGAGCCCTGCCCACCACTCTCAACCTGCCTTGGCTCCGCCTAACATGCATTATAATTCTCCAGTTTTTCCGACGGTCACGCCTTTTATGCTACAAACTAGCCACCGCCATTGCATTGACGGAGGATCCAGATCGAGTAAATTTTTTAATGATGTGGCAGCAATCGTTTCTCTCGCCGCCTCCTTCAGCGCCAACTCTGCATCCCTGGAGTCAGGGGTGGAGCTGGAGTAGTGGAAGGGGGTTCCATGGCACCCTTTTGATTTGGAGAAACACACAAAATATAGTAGTATAAAACCCCAACTTTCAATGTTAATTGTCAAATATTTATTATCACAACTACAATCAATTATATAAATTAATTCTAGTTTATCAAAATAGATAAGAGGGTGCATATTATTAGAGCAAATCACTAAACTTTCTTTGATAACAGTAGCAGTGAAAAAAATGGTTGCCATCAATGTATTTGTTTGTGAAACTATGTTTAGATTGTTGCTTCCTTTAGTCAATACACATATTGATGTAAACTTTTCTGCAACGCAGCAGTTGACCAACCTTCCAATCGTGTGAAACAAAATTGTGAATGGTAATTTAATTTGAAGGGATAAACATTAAGAGAGAAATCTTGGCAGTTTGAAATTTATATAGTTTTAGAATAATTTCATAATATCAAAAGTGAGATCACATCAAGGATAATTGTTCTAAAATTATTTTAGTGCACCACCTTTAATCAAATTCTGCATACGCCACTGCCTGCAATTGGGCCTCCAAATTCCAACTGTGGGTCTACTCAAGAGACCCTGACGATGGAACTTGAATATCCTCCACTCCACGATCAAGAGTGGTCCCTCCCCTGCAGCCATAATCAGACACTTTTACACGATCAAACTTTGAACTGACATTGAATCCGAACATAGGAAGCCTAAGAGGTCCTTGCTTCCCGTCGGCTTTGTCATGTGAAGCAGCTTGCCTCCGAAATTGGTGGTCAGTTCTCCGCTGGCCACACATCTATCTGGCCTCCCCATCTACCTCCCCATCCATGTTCAAACCATCACATACACATATGGCTCCCACGGTTTTGGATCTTGCTTATGTGGGAGTAAAAGAATTGGAGGGCTGAGGAATTCGGGGAGGTACAATAGAGTATCAAGAGGTAGGAGTGAAGTATAGAGGAAGCTCTAAAATCTAGATGGGTTCAGGAGGGAGATGGCTACTGAGAGGGGAAGACATAAGCTATTGTAGCAAAAATGATCCTAATAAAATCTGCCCCCAATTTGTTGATGGTTTGCAGGGGACTGCGTTGGTTCTCCGGTGACGAGATATAGTATAGAGAGATGAATGTGGGTTGGGTGTGGGTAAGTGGGTTGGGTTTTTCTTTTGGTGACAACACACATATTGGGCGAAGTAAATAATTTTTTGATTCTTATAATTAGTAGTATGGATGGAACTACCAAAGAGAGACATAAGTGGTATTGGATGTACAAATTCTACTTAAGCGATATACCTTGTGTAAGTTTAATGGTATACCAACCATTTTACCCAAGAGTCTACCATAAGAATTATCTAAGGTAACCTTTAGTGATCATATGAAACTTTTCCGATTCATTTCTTGTTATAATGTTCGAATTGCAAAAATACTAGCTAAATAGGCTACAATTGCATTATCTAGCCTAATTAATTAGTGAGAGCCAAAAAGCATTTGTAAAAGGTAGAAACATCAATAAAAAATTAATGACATCTAAATTATTAAATGAGTATAAATAAATTAAATGCATATATCTCTTAGGTGCACTATGAAAATTGACTTGATGAAGGCCTTTGATTTAGTGGACTATGCATTTTTGTTGACAGCTATGAAGACTATGGGAATTCCTTTACGATTTCATGATTGGATTCAAGCATGTATTTATAACTCATGTGCTAAGTGTGGCTGTTAATGAAGGTGTTTGTATTACTTTCGTGCAAAAAGAGGTTGAGACATGGCGATCGTGAAAGGGACTGCAGTATAGTGGCTCAAGTTCATTGGTTTACTATACTACAGTCCTCTGGCTTCGAACCACTTCCACTTCCTTTCTCCTTGGCCTAGTTCATTGCCACTATTGTTGATCTTCCCGGACTTCAGCTGGTGACAATGGATTTAGCAGAAACTTTCTATCTCATTTTTTAAACCGGTAGCTGTTATGCCTTCCATCATGAATCACGTCTCGATCGTATTGCCACGGACGACTCGATAGGAGATGAGTAGCCTACATTGGAGAAACATCAAACCAAATCTCATTTGTACAATCACCAATCTGGAAAAAAAAAACCTTGGCCTTCTTGTTGACTTTGATATTCTCATAGTCGTTCAGCCAATGCAGGCTGTATGGTTGAGGATGCTTGATGGGAATATCAAGACATACACCCTGCATTGGCCTTCTTCTTGACTACATCCAGACTAATCACATTGGTGCAGCTACCATCATCAATGACTACGGATAACACATTCCCCTCGACCAGGCAACAAGAGTGGAAAATATTATCCCTCTACTCTGTCTCTGTGCAAGCTTCAATAGATAAAGTTATGCGGCTCACTCCAAGAAGTTTACCTATTGGAGGTTCTTCAGCCTTGAAGTGCTCATCTACATCATCATCATCAGAATCAAGGTCGAGTCACTTCCCCATCGGCTTCTCTTCCTACTCAACCTTCTCAGAAAAGTACTTGCCATCTCGCAGAACAAGAACCTTCTTGTTGGGGCACTTATTTTTCTTGTGTTCTCGTCCCAAGAACTTGAAGCATTGGATGCTTCTAGTTGAGCCTTCATTCGTGGCTTGGATGACTAGGGTTGTGTTCCTGGCAGCTGGCTTGTCACCTTCTTGCTTAGGGTGAGTCAAGGTAGTCTCAGGAATGCTCTCTGCAACAAGTTTGGGTGAAGGTGGATGCCTTCTTCCCGAACTCACCTTCGTTGCCCCTCCACCTTCATGGCCAAATACACCACTTTCTTCAACTCCACAAACTGACAAAGCTAGACTTAGTGCTTGAAAACGAAGTTCGTACCAAGTGATACCAGGTGGGAGTAAGGTAGTTACAAGTGTTATGAAATTATTTTTTTCGAAATATATTGAAATTATTTATCAGTTTGTAGATTACAAGAACACGTTGCATCTGTGAAAAAAATTGAAAATTCAAGTTAAAACAAAGAAGATAAATGAAAATTTAAAACTTATAAAAATTATAAAAAAATCATTGAATCTCATCCCTTAGATCTGATCTCAATTAAAAGGAAAGCTCCAGATCTAGTTATACATTTATCCATAACCAAGTGGTTATACACTCTGTCTTGGTCCGCGTGTATATATGTGTATAGAAATTGCGTCATTTAATTTCACCCCTTTTAGTTTGATGTCTTTTTTAGAATATCCACATCAAGCTACTATATTTAACTAATTACATTAATGGAAATTCCAATTGCAATAATGCAAACTATCAATTCCATTTACAATTCCAAGCAGACATTTATGATTTTTTTATTTTATTTACGGATATAATAATAAACATATAAACATTTTATTTAATTAAAAATTAACTTGATCCCACATATTTAATTACAAATTAATTGTATTGATGTAAGTGAATTAATGTATGTAAGTTGTTGAAGCCCCCTTTACCTTCCTTCTCAACTTCACCCGCCTTGCCTACGTGGAATTACCTACACACACAGAGGTGGGCCTCGTGGCCCGTTAATCCTCCAACAATCAAGTCAGCTTTCACTTTAGAGAGAGAAGTAATTTCCCCAAAAGTTTAGTGAGAGAAGCCAAAACTGAGTAAATGCTTACCAACCATACTATTTATAACTGTTCATTGTTTACCGTACCGTACGGACTTCCTCGTCATCGCCCTGTCATTGTTCTCCCCCCTAGGCGCCTGGTCCCGCCATTCTCCATGATGACTTGCTCCAGGCGCCTAATGAGCAGTCGATCTTCATACCTGTTCCGTTAGACGCTCCCACGAATGCGCCTTCTCGGACGTAACCGGACGAACCCTTTTGTCCAACCGACTTTCCCCAGTTTGCCCCCCGGGCCTCCTCAAATGGGCCTAACTCTTCTTCAGGCCCTTCTCTTAAGACTCCCTTTGGGCCCAACTCTCCTTCAGGCCCTTTCTCTTAAGACTCCCTTTGGGGCTTTTCACACGCTCCTGACTCTTTGCCGTGTCGTAAGTTTTCCTCCGTCGAACTACCCCCAACAATTGCCCCCCAGTTAGGTGCTCAAGTCACATACCTTGAGTGCCTAACTAATTGCTCCGTACTCCTACAATGCCACCACTTTAAGCGATCTTTCCCCAACCATTCTTATCGTCCTCCTGTACTTTGCCCCCCATACTCATGCATCTAATGCATTTGCGCCTGCTTCGAATACGCGCCAAGGCATCCATGCTCATTATTTTCCTATAGGCGCCCTCATAACACAACCTGGGTACTTTATTAAAGGCGCATTCTTGTTCAACACTTTCCCCTAGACGCCTCGCGTACAATTCACCAAACGTTTCTTGTTGCACCCTACGTCGAAGGCGCCTCACTTTCAAACCCTAGGCGACCCGCATCCCCCTCTTCTCCCTATAAATTCTGTCTTGGAGAAGTAGCTTCCCCCTTTTCAAAGCCTTTCCTTTCGGCCGCCCCTTTTCCCCCAAATTTTTTCTCGAATCTCTTTCATAGGCGCACCATCTTCTTCCTTTTTATTTCCCCTACTCCCCAAAGGCGCCTCTTCTCTGAACGAAAACCTTAAGACGCCTTGCTCCCTTCCCCTGTTTCCGAGGGCGCCTCTTCTCTGCACGAAAAAACTGCAGGCGCCTTGCTTCCTTCTGCTGGTGCCTTGTTTCTATCTCCTGCTGCCGAAGGCGCCTCTTCTCTAAACGGCAAGTTGTAGGCGCCTCGCTCCCCTCCTGCTGCCCCCATCACAACCGCGATTTTGAAATTCAAATTGCGCGCTTGTGATTGAACCACGTGGCCAGTGGCACGATTGCGGAGGCGCGGTTGCCCTACTCTTTAAATGTAAGCTACCACTCTTCATTGTTGTTCATTCGCCCCAAACTACTTCTCACTCTAACTTCTCTCTCTGCCGCGTCCCTCTCCCCTTCTCAGCGTGCTCATCTGCTTTATCATGACGAAACCTGCCGATGATGCTACGGCTGCGGGCGCTTCTCAGGGCCAAGGCGCCCCTTCCAAAACTGGTGAGCACTCGCTTTTTTTTTATTTGTGTGTGGGCGCCGCTTACATCGCCAACGGTTGTGTGCGCCTGGTTGACTTGTTTTAGCGGGGGCGCCTACGTTGTCTCCGATCCCCACGCCCTCATCGAACTACTACGTGCCAGAAGATGGTTCATACAAAATGACCACGTGGGAGAACACCTGGCCGCCTTAATATGCGCCTTGGGAGACGACCTGCTTACCTACTAACGTGGCAGGGCCCGAGCATAAATCAACCATGTCGGCCGCGTGGATGAAAAATCTGATTGCGAATCTCAAGCTCCTCCGCACCTGGACGTATGCGCCTCCTTCGCCTATTGCTCGAGTGGGATTATGCGGTCCCCGTTGGTTGGGCATCTACCAGGAGTACTTCCGGTTTGGGCTCCGATTTCCCTTAGACTCCATTATGGAGGGAATTCTGGATTATTGTGGGTGCACCATCGGGCGCCTATCACCTTCCGTGATACTAGTTGTGGTGCTCTTTAAACTGAAATGTCGGGTTCATAACGTGCGCCCAACCTTCAATCTTTTTCGCCATTTTTTCACGGTGACGCCCCGAAACAACTGTTTATCACTGCAACGCCGCAAGAAGGTGGGCGCCCATTTCGTTACGCGATGCCCCAAATTGGGACGAAGTTGGTTCACGGGCTTCTTTTTTATGAAGGCGCATAGGGACTATTTTTTCGAAAGCGGAGGCGCCTTTAGGACAGATTGGGAGCTTGGTACCGAGAAACGATTTAACGCCTCTGTCGTACTTAGCCGCAAAGAAAAGGACGGCGCCGCCCTGATTAACTCCTCCCCTATAAATCTGCGCCCCACTAGTGCCCGGGCGCCTATATTAGATGAATACTATGGAGATGGTGTGTTGAATGCTTTTCTTTCTTGTTGATGTTTTTTGTAGGCGCCTTGGCTGATGACTTGTTTTGTTTGCAGGTACCAACTTTGCCCGCATTGCGACCTTGATGAAGAGTCGCTATGACAAGATGACCCGCAGGCGCCTCGTAGGGGCGCATCCATTCGTGCCAATGCGTCGCCTGCCTCCGTCTCTACCCCCCAACCTGCTACGGATAAGCTGGCGCCTGGGAAAGGCAAGGCGCCTTTGGAGAAGCCCGCCAAGACTTCCAGTGTGGCGTCCACACCATCAGGCGCCAACGTGGTTGAGGATCACCCGCTGATTGAAGAATTGGGTGACTTCAGGGAAGAAGAAGATGATGCCCCCCTAATCACTCGTGGGAAGCGGGCCGGCGCCCGGTTGTCCAACCCGGGGAAGAAATCCAGGCCAAGTAATGAAGAGGCGCTGGTGATTGTAGGGCAAGAAGAAGGAGGCGCCCGCATGCATGGCGCTACACAACCCAACCTTTACTCCGTATCAGAAGGGCACCTGCTTGGTCCTGACGGGAAACCTCCCATTCTCCGCCCGACGTGCACCGAAATAGGGCGCGTTGCTCTGTCCTGCTCTCCTCGGGCGGCGGTGGATCGTGGGTGCGCTATGGGTTTGGCACTTGCGGCATCGCAACATCTCCAGACGCCCGCCGAGCTTTCATCGGAGCATCCATGGGCTGAAGTTGCCCAGATGGGCGCAAGGTAAGCCTTAATGCGCCTGCATTTTAGTTGCCAATGTGTTTTCGCTTATAGAGGCGCCTATTAGAGTATGACCATCTTTATTGTATTGTTCTGTTCTTGCAGTTGCTCCTTCTTGCGGAGGCGGGCGCCCGGAAGACAACCACCGCCGTGGAGGAGAGCCGCGAAGTGATGGCGTCCCTGTCAACCCTGAAGGATAACCTTGACACTGTTACCGCGCGCCGGGAGCAGCTTGTCAAAGAGTGTGAAGAGGCGCAAGTAGAGGCGGCCAAGCAAATCTCCACCCTTCAAAGCACCCTGGAGGAGGAGCGCAGCCAACGAGACGCCGACTTTGCTTCTCGAATGGCAGAAGAGCGCCTGGAGTTTGAGCGGAGGCTGGCCGCCTTCAGGACGGAGAAAGAGGCGCTGACGCAAGACCTAGGCACCCGGGACCAGGAGCTCATGACTCTGAGGGAGGAGAAGACCTCCCTTCAGGATGAGTTGAAGGCGGCCGCCTACCGCCGAAAGGACTACAAAAGGGTGGTGAAGGGCGCCCGCAAGGAAATTAGGGCACTGAAGGCGTCTTTAAAGAACTTTGCCCAATCAGACAAGGGGCAGGAGCTAATTGCCAAGGCGTCTCTGGATTGCTTGGTACTTGCCAAGAGGAAGCTCGACCAAGAATATCCCGACATCACCGTGGACTTCCCCGACATGGTGAATTTTGTGATCGAAGAGATGCAGAATAACCAAGAGGAGGCGGCTGGAGAAGATGAGGAGGCGCCCGTGGGGAGTGAAGATGCGCCTTCTCCTCAGGGAAGTGAGGCCTCTTCGACGGATGCGTCCTCGGAGGCAGAGTGATGCTAGGCGCCCTGTAACATGGATTTAGTGTGCTCTTTTGGGCGTTGTTTTTTTTTTTTGCCAATCTTTTGTTTGGACTTTGGACGCCTATGATGAAAATTGATTCCTCATGCTTGTCTAATAATTTGACATCTTTCGGGTTGGGCGCGTAATTTAAGGGCGCATTTTTCGAACGTACGGCGCTATTACTGGGCGCTTTCGTTGTTGTCGGGGCGGAAAGTCAGATTGGTGCCCTATTTTACTTTGGGCGCATGAATTATGGGCGCTGATCTTAATGCTGGGCGCGAAGAAGGGCGCTTTGTCGTACCTTGGGGGCAATTTGGTGGGCGCTTTCGTATGGTTCGGGCGCGAATAAGGGCGCTTTCTGGGCGCAAATTATTTTGCCGCTTTCTTTTTGACCACATTTCCTCTTACGATTTCAACAAGGGGCGCTTCTTTGGAGGGCGCATTCATTAACAACATACTTTTACCACAAAACATAGGCGCTGCACACTACAAGCGCTTTGGTGGAACGACACAATCTACTCCTAATGTGCTCATATTAGCACGTTACCTTAACCACTCACCCTTCATCCACTTTGCTCCGTCAGTGAGGTGTGATACACGCGTAGGTTCTGCGCATTCCATGTTCTCTTGACCGGCTTGCCATCCATATGCATTAACTTAAATGTAGCCGCCCCAACGACTTCAGCCACACGGTATGGGCCCTTCCATTTGGGAGCCAATTTTCCCTCTTGGTAATGTGATGCGGGCGCATTTTTCTGTTGTATTACCGAGCGACTTGCCTCTTCATCTCCTTCAATCGTATAGATGCCACGTCCCGGCGCTCGTCGGAGAGGTCCAAATCAACTACCCTGTCCTCCTCATTTTGACCCGGCTCATAGTGTGACACCCGATAGCTGGGGATCCGGAGTTCAATGGGAATGACCGCATCACTGCCGTAGGTTAAGGCGAAGGGTGTCTCACCCGTGGCGATCTTGTATGTTGTTCGATGTGCCCAAAGCACACTTGGCAACTCTTCCACCCAGCGTCCCTTAGCACCCAGGAGCCTTGTGTGTAGTCCATGAAGGATGCACTTGTTGGCCGCCTCGGCTTGTCCATTAGCTTGGGGGTAGGCCACAGAGGAGAACCTCAGCACCACCCCATGCTCATCACAAAATTCAACGAACGTCTTGCAGTCAAACTGTTTACCGTGATCGGTGACGATGGACTCTGGCAACCCGAACCGAGTGAATATGTTCTTCCTTGTGAACTTGCGTACTTGGGCCTCGGTAATGGTTGCCAAAGGTTCGGCTTCAATCCATTTGGAGAAGTAGTCAATGGAAACTATCAAATACTTCATTTGCCCAGGCGCCTTCGGAAAAGGACCTAATAGGTCCATCCCCCACTGTGCAAAAGGCCAAGCGCCCGTGTTTCCCTGCATTGGTGCCGCCGGAATATGTATGTCATTAGCATGGATTTGGCACTGGTGGCAGGCGCCTGCGTGAGCCTTCGCATCTTTTCGCATTATAGGCCAATAGTACCCTGACGAAGCAATGTCTTCTCCAAACTCCGAGCACCAGCGTGCATTCCGCAAGTGCCACTGTGAACCTCCTCAAGTGCCACCTGGCCCTCCTCATTGCTCAAGCACTTTAGGTAGGCGCCCGAATGAGACCGTTTATACAGGTGCCCCCCAATTATAGAACATCGGGCCGCCTTCCGTCTGAGTTGCCATGCTTTCTTCGCATCTTTAGGGACGACGCCCGACGTGAGGTATGCCCAAATAGGCGCCATCCAGCTGTCACCCTCCGTGGAATTACTTCCCGTTGCTATGACATACTCTTGTGGCACCTCCTTTGTAACAATGACTTTCCTCTCTTCAGCGAAGTCCAAAGATGTGGCCAATTTCAATAGCGCGTCTGCATGGGCATTTTTATCACGCGGGACATGCGCAAATTCCACTTCTCTGAACCAAGCGCCCTCTCTGCGCACCGCCTGGACATATGCTTCAAGGGCTTCCTCCTTTACCTCAAATGCCCCGTTTAGTTGGTTTACCACGAGGGCCGAATCTGTCATGACACTGACACATTGGGCGTCTAGTTCTCGGGCCATACGAAGCCCTGCGACAACCGCTGCATACTCGGCGGCATTGTTGGTTTTGAGTTCCGCAAATCTTAAAGCAACCTCATGCATAACTCCCATGGGACTGATTATTACTATCCCTGCTCCGGCACCAATTCGACTCGCCGCCCCATCAACTTGGACTTGCCATGTCTCCTCCTCGGCTCCATCAGCTTCCACTATTCCTTCTGCAACAAAATCTGAAAGCACCTGGGCCTTGACAGCAGGCCGAGGCGCATATCGGATGTCAAACTCACTCAACTGTACGGCCCACTTAACAAGGCGCCCCGCCACATCCATGGAGCCCAAGGTGGACTTGAGCGGGAGGTTAGTGAGAATGACAATGGCGTGCGCCTGGAAATACGGGCGTAGTTTGGTTGCAGCGGTTACCACTGCGAGAACAGCTTTCTCGATAGGCGCATACCGCCTCTCATGGGACCCCATTGTCTTGCTCACATAGTAAACTGGTCTTTCTTTTACCATAGACGCCTCTCTTGATACCAATACCGCACTAACTGCCACCTCCGAAACTGCAAGGTACAAGTACAACACCTCGCCTGCTTTAGGCGCCGTCATTACTGTAGGTGCCGCCAACAGGCGTTTCAACTCTTCGAATGCTACATTACACGCCTCATCCCACTTGAAGCGTACAGCCTTCTTGAGCACCCTGAAGAATGGTGCGGCTTTGTCAGCCGATCTCGGTATGAAGCGACCTAACGCGGCAAGTCTCCCGGCCAAACCTTGCACCTCCTTAGGCGTCCGGGGAGGCGTTAACTTGATTATAGCATCCACCTTCTTCGGATTGGCTTCGATCCCTCTCTTGGTAATCATGAAGCCTAGAAATTTGCCTGCTTCCGCGCTGAAGACGCACTTGAGAGGATTGAGCCTTAGATTATGTAGGCGCATGGTTTCAAACGTTTCCCTCAAGTCACGCAAGTGATCCTCCCGCTTACGACTCTTAACTATCAAGTCATCCACATAAGCCTCCACATTCAGCCCGATCTGCCGTTGGAAGACCGTATTCACCATGCGTTGGTAGGTGGCGCCCGCATTCTTTAACCCGAATGCCATGACCCTATAGCAGAAATTTCCAAAGGGCGTCATGAACGCGGTCTTCAACCTGTCTTCTTCTGCCATCGGGATTTGATGGTACCCCGAGAACATGTCAAGAAAGCTGAGCATCTCATGATAAGCCGTGGCATCTACTAGTAGGTCTATTCGAGGCATTGGATATGCATCTGTTGGGCACGCCCTATTGAGACTTGTGAAATCGACGCACATTCTCCAGTCTCCTGCAGGTTTTGGGACGACTACCACGTTGGACAACCATGTCACATAAGCAGCCTCCTCCACGAACCTGGCTTCAAGGACTTTATCCACCTCCACCCTGAGCATTGCCTCCTTCTCCTGAGATAAGTTCCTCCTCTTTTGCTGAACGGGCTTCCTACCAGCCTCTACTGCTAGCCTATGAACCGCTGTCTCTGGCGCCACTCCCGGCATTTCCTTGGCGCTCCATGCGAACATCTCCGCAAACTCTCTCAACAAAGCGACCAAACTTTCTACCATTTCCGGAGGCGCCTGGATTGAAATTCTTACTTGTCTCTCTGGTCGACCTTCATCCAATGGGATCATCAACTCCTCATCCGCCACCTCGGCCCTGGGCGCCTCCTCAGTTGCAACCACATTTACCCTCTGACTCTTTCGGGGCCGCACGCTTTTCAGCTGGGCGTATATTGGGTCGCCTCTTCCTCGGGCAACGCCCACTCCCTGAGGCGCTATGAACTTCAGCGTTTGGTGACAAGTAGATGCTACCCCATTAAACAAAGCCAAGAGAGGCCTCCCGAGTATGGCATTGTAAGGAGACGGGCAATCCACGATCCCGAAATCAATGGCGTGCGTGACCCGTTGGTCTTCGTCTCCCAAGGTGACAGGTAGGCGCACGCTCCCAATAACTTTAGCAGGCGCCCCCTCAAATCCCACCAACACCGAGTCCGATGGTCGTATCAAGTCGGGAGACAGCTGCATGCGGGTCACCGTGTCCTTAAACAACACGTCCATGGAACTTCCGATGTCTACCAGCATCCTCTTCACGATGCACCCAGCTACAACTCCCTGAATCTCGAGTGCCTCCAAGGAAGGTATCCCATAGGCTTCCTCCGGAGTCTGGTTGAAACTAATGCACACCCCTTGCTTGTCCACCGACGCCGCTCTCAGGCGTCGTCCAGCCTCCAATTTATCCCTCAAATCCATCGTGCCAGTGATTGCCTCCATAGTAAGCCTCACCTTCTCGGGCGCCTTCTCTTGGTCAAGTTCAAATGGAGGCGGGGGTAAATCCTCTTTTGGTTCTACCCAATGGACCCTCTCTTCCGGTTTTTTGACAAACTCATTGAGCATGCCCCTATCGACCAACCCTTGCAACTCGGTCTTCAGCTGGTAACAGTCCACCGTATTATGCCCACGCTCCCGATGGAAGTCGCAATATCGATCCAGATTCTGAGGATTGGGTTGCCCCCTCATAGGTCCTGGCCACCTCACATGATACCCCTTGTCCTTCACATACTGTAGCACATTCTTTGGTGAGTCATTAAGCTCTGTGAATGAATTCGCCCTAGGCGCCGGGCGCCCTTGATAATTTCTCCTGGTCGGGACGAAGGATGCTCCACCGTAGGTTGGCCTGGGCTCAGGCGCCTGTCTTCGCGCCCCATCTCCTTCTTCGCCCCTTGAGCGGCGCCTATCCGCTCTTCTCGCCGCTAGCGTTTCCTCCAACATTATAACTTTCTGCACCCTGCGATCTAGGTCCTCCGTGGACACTACATCTCTTTTGGGTAGCGCCCGACAAAGCTCTTCCCTTGTGGTACATTCCTCCAGGATGACTCCTAGTACCGGTGGGTGTACATCCC